CATCATTGAGCCGATTTTGCTGTTTTTTGAAGGGCTTCCAGTAAAAAAAGGATGCCAGTCGTTAACTGAGCCCTTCTTCGCACCCCATTCGAATTCATTATGGAAAAACGAAGTTTTAAAGCAAAAACCAGGATAAAACACAAATACCCACCTACAGCAACCCATTCGAATTAAATATATTGGCAAAAATTGTGGTGAAGGTAAACTTCACACCTACTTTATACAGGGCCCGCAGAACATAAACTTATCGTGAGATTGATCGAAAGAAAATTGTGGAAAATGTATTTTATTTTGATTGACATGCCGTTTGTTACAATTACCTATATTTATCTTGGAGAATTCCTATTACCTGAAAAAATAACCAGTGAGTGTTTTCAATTTTCTGTTGTTGGATTTTTCACCCGAGTGGATCGTCACACTTGAAACCGTAATTTTTAAGGGTGAAACTGCATTTATCATGCGATTGTTTTTTTTTGAAAATTTTTTTCGGTACTCACGTATTTTTGTCTAATAAACCGAATTATATAATGAAAATGTGAACAAACCACTATTTGTTGACATATTTCACAAGAAAAAGTTCGAAATTTCGCCTTCTTTCTCCCCTTGTGTTGGGGGCATTTGAAGCTACTTGCTCTTATTTTGTCATTGGACACTTTATATACCGTGGGCCCTTATTAAATATGTTCCCGACCCCCAACCTTCAACTTTATTAAAAAAATTTTAAAAAACATTTTTATCATATAAACAGTAAGTTTCGCTCATATTGATATTTTTTCAAAAAATTTTCACTGTTCCTTTTCATGGAGCAATGGCTTTTGCTTGCTCCGTTATTGCTTATTGTATACATCATTGCAACATTTTTCACTTCCATATAAGTAAAATATTATTGTATCATACCATAGGTCAAATCTGTCCTTTTTTAGAACTTTACATTTTCTTGGCTGATGATGGGCTTATATAAGCCCGAAACATGTTCCCTTATATGATCTATGATCATTAAATAAAAGTTGTGGAGATGACTTTGGGTTTTCATCTATGGACTTTATATATACTCATGATGTACTTCGATGGCACATTTTTATATAGAAAATTCAACAGGAAATATGATTTTTATTTAGTGAACAAGCATTCCAGATGACGACCATTTAATCAAAAGTCAATCAAAATACGAGATGTCAAATGTCAATAGATTGCTTTCGAATGACATTACACACGCCATTATTTTGAATGATATTCTTCCTTCTTTTCACTAAATATGGATTAATCTCAAGAAAATCATATTTATAGTTGAATTATATATAAATTGTCCAATATGATGAAAAAAGAAGGGAAATTTGTTCTAAATGCCATCCAGAAGACAGGTGAAAAAGAAGGTGAAATTTGAAACCTTTTAGTCAAATATCTTCATGATAAATATCATGATAAATGCAGTTTTACCTTTTTAAGTAGTGTTTGTAGTTCATGTTAATATGATAATTGCAATTTGATCATTGCAATGAATTCTGCATTCATTGCCACGAGGCAAATGACCGTTTTCAGAAAGAAATTTGAGAATAAGAATTAAAAATGCCCGTTTATTATGAACATTCAAGAAAATTTCCTCGAATTCAGAGATGATTTTGTTGACTATAATAAACGAATACAAAACTAACTGCACAATCAAAGCTTTTCTATTTTTCCTCTACTTATACTTTTTATGAGAGAGTAATTGTCTTCTATTATTAATTCATCATTATAAATTAAGCTCTGTTTACTACTGAACTTAGATGAATTAAAATCCTCGCGGTGAATTGCATATACCCACATTTTCGATAGCTCCTCGTCCAACGGGAAACTAAAAGCATGAACTTTTGAACCACCCACATAATTCCCCCGACAAAAGGGAACACAACACTTGAAAGGCATTGTTATTTCGCCGATCACAACACAAAATATTTCACAAAACAGTAATTTTTCCGCCAATTAATTTGATGAATAAACAACAAAAGAATTCGGGACCGTTTCAAAAACATACTTGAATCACCGATGAATTAACACGAACTGACGCGTTAGTCGACAAGCGATAAAATAAAACACTGGCCTCTCTTGGTGACGTCACGAGCTGTTTACGTCAGAGTCTGCTGACCTTGTTGTATCGGTGGTAACGCATTCACGCATGTTTTTCAATATGTGGTTAAAATATGGATACTCTAGGCCTGAGTCTAGGTGACAGAGTAAAAATAATTAGTGTTGTGTCTCCATCGCGCGACCACTAGTACACAAAGGGAATATATTTTTTATGTTCATTTTCAAAGGCATCTTCTGAAGGTTTGTCAAATTCCGAAATTCCTGTTTTTCTTGATAGGCCGCGGTACTTACCAAACCTGCTCAGTAGAGCGTGAATATCGGAAAACCCTAATAAAGGTATTGATGATGGAATCAAAATCAGAATAAATTCAATATAAAACTATATTTAAAAATATATACATTTTACAAAATCACTTTTCTATTATTGATCATAGAAATGATGTTATTCTATGAAAATTATAAACATTCACCTATTCGATATAATGACACCAAACCAAGTAGGTTTTAAATTCTGATAACAAAATGGTCAACCTTTCAAAATGCGGCGTGATTGGTTGACAATGAAACAAAAACATATATATGGATACCATATGGGACGTTACTGGTAGTTGCTTTGGTTTTGAGAATACAAATTGAAAATTTGATCCATCGATACAGTAGGTACGAGTACTTTTTCATTTTCCAAATAACAAAGAGCTGACTCCTGTTTCGCTGAAAGTGAATCAATTTTTTTATCACCCATTGTTCTGAAGGATTTTCGTTGGCCCAATTACAAGGTTATTTGAATAACCCAATGATATAATGGTATAAATTGACGAACTGTTTCTGTAGTAGACCATGGTCGATAATTTTTGAAAACGGAAAAAATTCATTGTAGAATGATACCCATTGAAAGGGTAGAGTTTCTAACAAAAATTGAAGAAAAAATAAATAACGGTTGAACTGAGGTCGGGAAGTGGAAGGGAGTGAGGTTATTTTAAGGGTGAAAAACGGTCAATTTATGGCAAAACTACGAGTCCTAAGGAAAACAGTTATACAACAAAGTTGTAGGTAAAAAAAAGATCTATTACTTTTGATTGTGAGTACACTTTTCTCACATAACCTCAAAATGTATGTGAAAAATTCAAATAACCAAATTTTCGATTTTTATAGTTATATTCCACAAAAAAATGAATACTTAGGTACCTCTCTATGTCCCAAATACACTGTAATATTTTTGTTTGAAATGTTCTTTTTTTCACATTATATTGACAAAAAACCACCCTAATTTTCAATCGAAAATGCTGGCGTCAAGATATCTGCTTTTTTAAAAAAGTCGGGAATTTTGTTCTATGGAATCTCTACCTTCTGATGCGGTAAAATATATATATATATACATTACTAGGGTAAATGTTCTTAAAAAATGCAAGAAACGAAACTGGAATCCGAAAAAATATTTCAATCATTATGTACAATTTTGAGCTATTTATTGAAACTAACACTAATTACTCGAAAAACTTCAGGTTACATTGATGAACAAAAGAAAACAAATCCATAACATTGCAAAAAACATGCGAAAATAGTTTTTCTAAATAATGAAGGGGATCTTATCTGAAAAATGTGACTGCTGCTTTTTTGTTTCTTTGCATTTTCTGAGAACATTTACCACAGGAATATATACATGCTTTCACACCATCAGAAGGTAGAGATTTCAAGGAACAAAAGGCCCACCGACTTTTTTGAAAAAGCAGATATTTTAACGCGAGAATTTTGTATTTGAAATGAGGGGTTCTTCGATATTAAGTCAAAATGAGGTGAAACAATTAATATTTCGAATCAGAAAAATTACAGTGATTTTGGAACAGGAAGAGGTAAGTTTTCACCAAATTTCGTGATTTTCTTCCTGTAAAAGATAGAAATAAAGAACCAAAAACTAGGTTGATTGAATTTTTCATATAAATTTTGATGTTATGAAAAAAAAGTGTGGATATAAAAGTTAGAGATCATTTTATCATCTACAACTTTGCCATTCAACATTTTCCATAGGGCTTGTAGTTATGTCAGAAATCGAGATAAATCGTTTTTGACCCTTGAAAACTCACCACTTCCCGACCGTAGATCCCCCGTAATTTATTTTTCCTTCCATCTTTGTTATATTCTCTTTCTTTTCAAATGGGTTTCATCATACTATTTTTTTTTACTTTTTACCATTTTCAAAGGCTTCTGCACTGGTCTGTAGTTTCCACTATGTTCACTCGATTTACACTATAATTGAGTCATTTTTTTTTTTTCAAAAAATAGCATTGATAGTTGTCATAAGAATGTTGGGGGAGTGGGTATAATTCAAAACATTAATTATCAAAAAACATTATTTTTCTACGGCTACAACACACAATTGCTCTTGTTTTACTGTGTTCGATACATCAATAAGGTACTTTTGTATGTCATCAATTTTATTTCCGTATCTGATATCACAATGACTCCATTGTGTTACTATATCAAAAAAAAATTAATCGCTCATGGAATGTAAAATTTCAAGCAATGACAACTCTGTCTAATAGATGAGCATTACTTGAGAGGAAATCAGATGGCTGTAAGACGAAGAAATCAAAAATGCCACTGTTATTCTACCTAAACCTTCATTTTCGGAAAATGGGCACAACATCTACATTAAAATACGGAATACCAAATTAACTTGAGAAGGCTGACAGCAAATACGTATTATCACCTGCTAAGAAAACAAATTCAACCTCAATAGTTCACCACTGCGAAAATGAAGGTTCATCGAACCTTTCCACAGGTAATTCTAATCCTTCAGGTTGGGAAAGTAGGATATATAAAAGTTAAGCAAGCCAAGGTTAGTTTATTTCGTTATGCCACTATTTCTCCTGATGAAGCGACTGTGTTAGCGAAACATGTAATGTGAAGAATTTTGTGGAAATCTTATCTTTTTTGAAATTTTTAAATTTGCTATGGATTTCCATCAAGTAACGGCCGATTCAATTCAAAAAAAGTATCTATTCTATTTCAATTATCAATTTAGAAATGTTCAGCTCTTTATGAATCTCAATACATCCGTTTCACTTGAAAAAGAAAAGATGTATTCACTTTCAGTTAAATCGAAAACGTAAAACAGGAACGCCATAGCGGTTGTCCAAATATCAATTTTTTATCTCAAAAACACAGCAAACTTCAGGGGTTTATCATTCCACATGGTGACCCGGTATATTCATGTTCGTGTTTTCTTCAGTGTAAATTGTCTTCAGAACAACAATGGGGCAAATGATGAAAGTCTATGCCAATTGAATAAATTTGAAATTAGAATCGACCAAATTTATTAAAATAAAATGGCAAACTGAATGCTCATGAAGAGATTTCATTCGCCCTATTCTTGTTCGGAAATAAATAATAATAATCAAAGTAAATAAAATTCTGATTGAACAATCATAAAACTTTCGTGTTAGGCATTGAAACTTGGAGAGCCTATATCCTTATTAAAAACAGACATCTTGTTTCTGAGCTACAGATTTCAAGGATTAATAACATGAGCACTTGAACAAGAATTTTGACAGACTGAGGACTTCGACAAAATCAAGTTTCCATTTTTCAATAATTCTATTGCAGCTAACGACCAAGAAAATATTGGAATATAGGAAATGTAATATACATTTCGGTTTATTACATACAGATATGTTCCTCATAAATTATATAATCCAACAACTACAATAAGGGATTCATCAACCTCATTGAATCACTAAAAAAAATTGATAACTGATCATTCGATTCCTTGATCTTAGGATTTACTAACAGCTTTAATTAGTTACATCATAACAAGTTGAACCATCCCTATGAAGCCGGAAATTCGATTCGGTAGGTGCCAAACTTAGGCAGAATATGGATTCAATAAGTGGATCATCTTGTTACAAGAGTAAATAATCAAAGCTAACAGTAGGTATAGGACTAACTGAGATAATATCATCATTAGCGACGCCAAAATATTATTTCCTCATGTTGCTTGTATGCCTTTTTTATAATAACAAGGAAATAAAAGGGACGATTCCGATCATTCATGTATCTTTAAGTCTAGACAGGAGATTGATATACAGTTTGGTTGATATACAAAAGTAGGAAATAATAAGAAGTCTACTAATTTGATGAGTTGCTTTCAATTATTATTCTCGTTTGATGACTTTTCTGTCATCTGACATTGAACGAAAAGTAACGTTACAGCTGATGGTTTTTACTTAGGTAGCAGAAGTAGGATGACTTAAGAAGATGTCATATTTCATCACGATATATTGACAATACTAGGAATCGTAACGACCCTACAGTCGTGCATCCTTCTGTTCGACCGAATGAGAGTCAGTCGTTTTCTTTCGTCAATTCCACGAAATCAGAGTTTGAATATACGTTTCTCAATAACGTTTATAGATTCATTCGTCAACTTTCGTTACATTTCTGTCAAATTACTTTTAGTCCGCTGACATCTCGCGGCCGCTCGCTACATAATTTTAGAAGCTAATAAATCAATATACAGATGTAGACGGCGGAGTAGCGCAGTGGGTTGAACGCTCCACTAGTAACCAGACTCGACAATTTATATTCATAAGACGAGCAAAAAATTAATTTTCGTAGCCTCGGCCGGAGATGATTCCGTGCGATTCACTGTTGCGTTCCAATTAACAGAGCTGCTCCCAAGGTGGCGTATGGAATGAGTAACAAAGCCTAAACAGAACACATATGTCTGATTGATCTCTCCTAAGGTCGATGGCCAGTTAGTGTGTACATACACACCAACAAATGGTAGCGCCAGGGATGAGCACTAAGAGCACAACTACCCATAGGGACCATCGATCAAGTCACCCCAATACATAGGGTGTGGTGTGACATAATTTTAGGATGTCCTCTCCGTCATTATTTTGTGACCAAAAACTGACATCAATGAGACGTCGCTCTGTTACCTAATGTACTAGATAAAATTGAGGAAAATGATAAGACATAGTAGTAGGTGAAATTTAGGCTTGTACTAGAAAAAAAAATCAACTAGCAACTTGAAAAATAATGAACTTCACGAATGATCAGCTTCTCGAAGACATGATATATTCATGTTTTATAACAGTTGTTTGTTGTAACTGACATTCACTTTAGACTTCCTATTTACGAATCAACTCATGGAAATGAACGATTCAGTATTCAAACTAAGGACGAAGCTGAATGTCAATTCAATCTAATCACCCATTATTCCCCATCACATAGTTGATGTTTTCATCACTGTAACCTCTTTTAAATAACTACATATTTATTTTATGTCTGATGATTGGTGGTGGCCGAAACTAGTTACACCTTCTTGATTATATAATTATTTGTGGTTGAATAACTTTAGGACATCCATTTGGTTTTATGGGTGAAACTAATTTGGTTCTGTAATTTGAAAAAGATCAGTTGAAAAAATTTTGAATAGATGCACATGCAGATGTTTTCATTGCAACCGTGTCCAAGAAAAAAACAAGATTAAGAAAGCTCATATGCATTTTCGAGGTCTTGAATGTTTCTATTTCAACAAAAAATTGTTCAAATCAGGCCAATACTACCTATTTTGTATTGTGAATCGGGGAATAATATAAACAATAAACAATGAGATACATTATCACTATATTCATAAGGAGGTCATCATGCAAAAAAGGCATACGAGTTAATTTTCCTCAAAACATATGACGAAATATGCCCCATAATGAAGTCCTAGATATAGTGAGGAATAAAATTTTCATCAGTATACAAAAATAAGCCCAGGCTGGGTATATCTCGTCAATAACAAATTCTATGTTGTTTTTTTGGTTTTTTCAAATCAATATGATTTTTTTACTATAGATGCCAGCACATTTTTATTAAATAACTAAATATATTCACTTTCACGCTAAACTAAAAATAACATTATAAATATTGAAAAACTTTACACTGGATCATAAATATAATCCAGGTATCATTTAACGAAAGCTTGAGGGGGTACAATCCCTTGAGCATTCAAATTTTGGAAAACTAAACTAGCTCTTTGATAATCCCATTGTGTTTCTTCCAAACATCTGAAACAAATATAGCATGTTATATCACCAGTGATATTATTTTGTTGAAAACATTCATTGATTGTTAGTTATAGAGTTTGTCCACGTTAACTTTGGGACAGCACGTGGTCACGTATGAATTGAATATGCATTTGCATTGAATCAAATCACGTGGTGTCCCAAAGTTAACGTGGTCGGACTTTAACAGCTTGTTGCTCAACAATGGGCTTATATCACAAAAAAATGTTATTTCATATTTCGATAGAACTCACCCAAACTAGCTCACCACCGCAAACCGTTTCTTGCTGTGAGCTCCCTACGTTTTATAAAAAATTATTGAAATCCCCGATTTTGCGGACCTCTGAAAACGAGGCGATGATGTGACGTCAAAACCCTAATACTGCAACAAGACTATTCCAGACAGAGACGAATGAAACATGATTTCTGACAAAGTGAATTAGCTCGAGATCACAGTTGAAAGAATTGATATATCAGTTGCCTCAGTCTCCGTCGGGCGTTTGGTATTTTCTTTTAACTATGGCGAGATGAGGTTTCTACGTCAAAAGAGGGTCCGTTTTCAAAAGGTACTATTATTTATGTCCAAAAATAAAACATTCCAGTTAATTTTTCGATCGAATTATGTCGCCAATCATTATTTATGTATAAAAGGATCATTATAAACATGGTTTGAGTTAAAAGTTTTACTAAGGTGTACACGCCCATTATGTGAATGACATTGTAAACAAAACTATAGAGCCATAGGCGACTCATATTCGTTTAAATATGTCAAGATTCAATAGGACAATAAATAATAATGGTGAAATTCAAATATGCGACAAAGTCTGCATAGCCATGGAACAACAACTTTCAGCAGCGTATTCCACTGGCTGAACTAGTGTGATAAGTTCCTTATAAGAAAATATATTTGCACCGACTTGAGCAGAATTAATTTGTAAAAAACTGAGAGATTGGGCTACTTTCAACCTATTTTTCATAATTTCATTCAACTCAAGTCGTTTTATCGTATATTATTCAACCCAATAATATAACGTGAGCAAATTTCGTTCAAACTAAATAGTACTCTGAGTTTCTTATGCCGTGTGGAGGCAGATAGCCCTAAGGCCCCATTCTAAATCTAATCTAACCTTATGGGAATAGTATATTATGTAACAAGTGTTATAAACGTCCTTTTAGTAACGAGTATTTTCAGGACGAGCGCAGCAGAGCGGAGCGAGTGTTTAATAAACGCGTATTTCCATCAACTTCATTGGAATAAAGTTAGTCAAGTGTGTAACCAAAGTAGGTATTTTGTCTACGAACTCATAATGCCTCTCTTCAACAAGATCATATACATAATACTATGCAACTGCATGCAACCAACACATAAGTGATATCGGTTGTAGCTGTAGATGTCGCTAGGTTAGGTTAGTATTCATGAATGACTTGCTTACTAACCTTTGTGATTGCTTTGTGAATACGAAGTTTTCATATGACGTAGAAGATGAAAACTCTTCTATTCATTGAAGCATCAAACTTTTCGATTTCTCAGGTTTATATCCATATTCTGAATGCATGATTTTGCTCACATAAATATTATGTTTTACGTTTATTGTCATTTAGCACACTAAAGAATGTATTGCCCACAAAGATGAGAGCTTCATTTTCACACAGAGCTCTCGAAAATATGCAATTACCTAACACATTCTCTTTGATTTCACTTTCGTTTACATTTGTAATGAAGCATTCTGATACGAACAGAAATTGTTCGAATAATTCTGATTGCAACAAAATTCCAAAATGACAATTGACAGTTCCTACGACATACTGTCCCTTTTAACAAAAAGTATTTCCATCAACTTCATTGGAATAAAGTTAGTCAAGTGTGTAACCAAAGTAGGTATTTTGTATATTATTCAGGGTAATCTTAAACTAACATTTTTTTAAATGGTATAAAATTTTCTTACTGAAAATCACTCTAACTTCAATTAGGAACCGGAAGTTCTTTCTCGAATACGAATATTAATACAATTTTCAAAACATTCCTGTTCTCTGAAAATTTTCCGGTAATAATTGAAGCTCTCGAGGTATTATTAAGTGACAATTCGACAGGACAACTTCTCCTCTGGTATAAAAAAAGAACACAATAGTTGAATGCAGTGAATCTGAAATTCACTCAAAGAATAAAAACTGAATTGTTGTGAACCCAGGAGAGTGAATTCTTGCTTTTGTGGTGATACTCTCAACAGATGTTGAGAGATGTCACTATTGATGCTCATTGGTGTATCATTATTGAATAAAGTATTCGTCATGAAGTGAATAATGAATGATTGCATCAAATACTATTTATTCATGAAATTATGTAATGTTTAAAACCTTCAAAACAAATATCATTAGAACCGGCTGCGAATTTCGACCGTCATCTGATAACGAAATTATATATGTCCCAAAGAAATTTAGAAACATTGTAGTTTATCTAACGGCACCTGTGCCACTCACTATCCTGAGCAAAATGATCGAAGATTGCACTTTCCTGAGCGGAAATTTGCACTCGATTTCGCGATTTGATAAGGAGGTAAGAATTATTTATTTATTTATAAATTTGAGGCCACCCAACAGGCAGGTGTTTCACTGCCCAATAATAAAGTGCCCAATAATAAAGTGGCACATTTTAACATACAATTTATCATTTAGTACTGGGTATGTTTTCTATAGTTATAGAATGCTTAAGATAAGTATTTGTGCTTAGTAACTCTGCTTAGTAACTATTATGACATCCAATACCAATTGAATTATCTCAAAACCTACCTGTGCCACTCCTGAGCCTGAGACAAATCCACGACACAGCGATTTATTTGCTGCTATTATTCTGGATATACTTCCGTCATGTGATAACGCGTTGAAACAAAAAGCAAATGAAAGGGAAAAATGTCCCCTTTGCGAATAACCAAACGTGCCGTGATTCAAATTGATCTAAGTTAGTGGCAGAGCGTTAATATTTCCGAGAACTGATTGCCAAAAAGTTGCAGCCAGTTTCGTTTTCGGAAGATCTATGGTGTGTTATTTTTTATGCTTTTAGGACTTACTTCAAGGACCATTCGAGGTTCATCCCGGACTGTGCCGCCATCTGCTTGACCATTTCATGTTTGGTGGCGTCATCAGGTACGATTTGAGGGGCTGGTGGATGTTGGGGTGCAGCCACGGGCACACTGGGGCCCGGTGAGGACACGTTGGCTATAGGTTGCGGTTGCGAATTCACTGTGTGTATTGTAGTTTTGAAGGCTTCCTGTGAATTATTCAGTATTGTGTATTGTTTGAAAATTTCAATATAAAAAATCGTCAGTCAAATTGGGTGTGTTTATAAATTTCGAATTATATTCCATTACACTACATTGTGAACTTTGGAACTATTTTTTGTTTCATGTTTATTCATTATATGTATACATATAAACCAGGAGCCCACATTGTGTTTTTGTGTCTCATTTGTTCACACTCAGCAGTATAAGATTACCCCCAAGTTCCACCTTCCACTACACGGATATGAGCTCGCCGTATGAAAATCGTGGTTGTATTGAAGTTGTATTAAGAAACCCGAGGTATCGAATCATTACTTACCGTTCGGCGTGACACTTAGTTTTTGCGAGTAAAACAAAGTCACTTTTGATGAATGAAACATGCTATTTTTTCTGCAACCGAATATGTCACTCGCTTGACAGATTATTATAATACCTTTATTATAATAATATGAGTAAGTAGATATAGAAGCAAGACCTCAGATTACTTTACTTTGTTATAATTTGTGTTGACATGCATCATGTCATCAGATACAACAGGTACGAATTCAATACTATACCCGAAACTTGGATGTTGTGCCATATGTATGTACTGCAATAAATAGATTTCAAGGATGTTCGCATTGTAGTTTCAATATAAATACAACCACAGAGTGACCCATTTGTGTATGGACTAAGTGTCAGCCCTAATAGCAAATACCGCGCCACTGCCAGGTATATTAAAAAGACGTAGAAAATGTTGGGTTAGTGAGCATATCAACAACAACAATACTATAAGCGATTATTTATTTTTCCCCAGACTCCACTGTGTTTGGCTTGGTAATCAAATGAAAATAAATAATATCGTTGTGTGAGACAAAAAAGTATTGCTGGCCGTGATTATTCAAAAACAAGTTATCCATCCCGAGAATAATGAATGAAATACAGATCAAGCAAATATGTGAATCTTGAAGGCATTCCTGATCAAAACAAAAATCTTAAACATAGTATAACTGCTTAGCCTAAAGCGACGTATAGATAAATTAGTTGGGTTGAGGGGATCAAGAGTATTCAAATAGTTGAAATGATGGTAAGTTCCCATTTTTTAGGATATGTGTTTAGCGAATCTAACTTGGGCTTGTTCGATTATTATGATATCACATGCATAATATGGTGACCAAATCATACAGCCATAGTCCAATAAGGAACGTACAAGGGAGCAGTATAATATATACAATGTGTTGCATGAAAAATGTTTTGTATTACGTGATAGAAAACCTACCATTCCATTGGCGGATGCTCATACTTTCAGTAAATGGCTCTTGAAGATGAGACGTTCATCAAGGATGATTCCAAGATCTGTAATCTCGGTTAATTTTCTCAAGAAGGTATTGTAATTATATAAGGAAACAGTATGAGAACGGGAAAACGATATTGTAAAACATTTGTTGGTATTTAGGTCGAGATTGTTACGGACCACACATAAAGGTTATCAAGATCGTTTTCAAGAAATTGACTGTCTAGGATATCTCTAATGATGCGAAACATTTTCAAGTCATCAGCAAAAACTGAAAAGCTTGCACTTTTGAATACAGCGGAAATATCTTTTATAAAAAGATTGAATAGTAAGGGTCCACAGTGAGAGTCCTGAGGGACACCTGATGTGACCAGAATATCGTTAGATATATAGTTATTGATTTTAACTCTTTGAGAGCGGCCACTGAGGAAACTACGTAGCCATTCCACGATATTATCCGCAAAGCCAAAAGAACGAAGTTTCTCTAATAAAATTTTTTTGTCAACTCTGCCTTGGAGAAGTACGTGTAAATTGGGTCGACTTGTTTGTCCCTCTTCAAGGAATCTAACAGGAAACCCTGGTAGGTCAGCAGATTGGTTACCGTGGATCTACCCGAACAAAAACCATGCTGCTGAGGTATTAAAACGTTTTTGCAAGACCATGTTGATTTGGCAGTAACCAGTTTGTCTAATAATTTGGTAAAGTAAACTGTATACAAATCAGTCTGTAGTTTTTGATGAATTCACGATCCCCAGATTCAAATATTGGAATGACAAAACTGTTTTTCCAGAATCCAGAGACAAGATAAAGAGGTATTGAATGGGATAGGCTAATGTACAATTACACAATTTCAATAGTACTGGAAGAATACCATCAGGGCCACTGGAATACTTATTCTTCAAACTCTGAATACCCTCAAACACTACAATTAAGCTTAGATGGAGATAATTGATGTCAACTAGGTTTCTATTTTAAAATGTGACTATTATTATCAGAATAGACAGTTGAGAAAAAGTCAGCAAAAAGATCTACAATATCTGGCTCATTAGTACAGGTGGTATTATTGAGGTGCATAGTGTTTGGGTAGGAATTAGATTTGCGTAAATTATTCATAAAGTTCCAAAGACTGTTAGAGTAATTTTGAATACTCCTTTCTGTATATTCTGGATAACTGAGGTATCATTGTTCATTCAATGATTTACACTGTGAGCAAAGTGTACAAAATTCTTGATAATAATAAGTAGAGTTTGTGTCTTTATAGCTCTTATGAGCCATCTTTTTCCTGAATGTAAGGTTTTTCAGTTCTTGAGTGAACAATACTGGGAAATTTGATGTCTTGAATGTTTTTACTGGTACATACAAATCGATTGCATTATAAATTATATCATAAAATATATGAACTGCTGAATTAATGCCCATAGAATTATATAATGCGCTCCAGTCATACCCAAATGATCATCACCAACTGCATTACATCTCTTAAAATCAAGATTTTAGTTCCTATGAGTTTAACTTTAGCTCTTGAGAACTAAAAGTGTGCCTAGCAACATACCTATGTTTGTGTCAGTAATAAAAACGTCAATTCGAGAGGTAATTTTGGTATTAAAATGGACGACTTTTGTGTCGGTTGCAAAAAAATAAAAGTTTAGGTGGACGGCGTTGCCGAACGTGTAGGGTGGATACGATGAGCAGTGGCACTGTATATTGTTGTCAATAATATTCAGTTGGAAGTTTTCATTTGTTTATGTTCGGCATTTTGTGAATTCGACTAATTATCCACAAAATCTCAAGTTAATATTATCGCCGAACATTTTGGCTAGATCGGGCACCAACCCCCCCCCCCCCCCCGTACTAATTTCTTTAGGGTATAGAGTATGCGTTTATAATAAATCAATTGGATATTGACCTTCATAGTCTTAAAATCCAATTGCGTTAACAAGATGATTTGTTTAAATTCGGCGTACCATTTTTAGTTAACTTTCTTCTCTCTATCAGATGCTTCTGTTTTTTCACAGAAAAGAATACAAGGAAAAAAGTTGTCTTCAACAAATCATCACCTACAGAAATATAGAAGTTAATCAAAAAACTGTATTTCATCAACATTCATTTATGCAGGAATTATCGATTTGGTGGCTTCTATTGTTTATAAGTTATGTGAAGGATATATCTCCTTCAATACACATTTTGGGCCATTAGTTTATTCATCAAACTATACTCATTTTTCAATGTACTATCAAGCTGAGCACACATTTTTGACTCACCCTGTATAAAAAATCTATGAGTAATATAAAAGCTGAAGATGCAACTGATAAAATGATATAGCCACCAATACCTGTTCATTGCAGGTTTTTAGATTATTTTTCAAGTGGATGATTTGATTTATCGATTGTGTATTAAACATATTTATATTGACTCCATTTTGGGTACTTGAAAAAATATAATTATCAATCGACATGGTAAACATCAACCATCGCCGTTCTGATCATCTCTTGTAACCATGGAGTTATGGTTGTTAAATGACAATACCAACGATATACATATATCTTACCTTTGCTTGGTCAGGTATTGCATTCGTCACGTGGAGTACTTCATTTGATATACAAAAACCTGAACCAGCAGGCACTATCACAAGGGTTCTGATGAAGTATCGCAGAGGAGGTATCTTGTGACCGCTCTTCAGCTCTTTGAACATACCAGTGACTGTGAGACATAACATCAGAGGCTGGAAATTAAAACAGTGAAACGTAAAATATACTCACTTTCATATAGATCCTATGTCATTTTCGCAATGGAGTATTTTCACATTTTTGAGATGAGTTCATTAAATTTATGGAATCCGATTGATTGAAAATTATAGGAAGCAAAATGATGTTATTTCAAATTTTATGAAACCAAAACTATTAGCTAACAAGGAAGACCTCTACTCTAATATAACCAAATTGTCGTAGAGAACTTAACATCTCCATAAGCATAGGCGACTTAGCATTTGGTCGACCACATAATATCAAATCCTCTTGTCCCAATAATAATAATAGTGTTTTTCATTTTGCTTAATTTGTCAAGTTTTTTTACCAATCGTCACACATAGGTCATATAAATGAGACAACTGATTCGGCTATCGGCTGCTAGACAGTAATGAAAAATAAAATAAACATCAGTCTAGTATGAACTCACTTAAAATCATGTAGTTTAAAAAAAGAAAACTCGTTGGCGATGAAATGCATAGTAAGTTGGAATGTTTCCGCAAATTGTAATAATATATTATTGTATTATTATTTTTATACTCGAATACAAAATGAAATCAAGATAAAATTGAATAATAAGTTTCAATTCAGGTATGAAAAAATTTAAAAGTATGAATGAACATTTATGCGGTAGATATTAAGGCTTTGCGGTAGAGCGGTAGTCACACTTTACAAAACGGTAAATTAAGCGCCAAAACGGTAGACTTCACAACACTGGACACCACAGTTAAACAACCGCTATTCTTCGCAACTGGTCACGTTGCCAAATGCAAATCTTTCATAATACTCCTAAATGTAATGATTCAATAAAAAATCTATATATTATAATCATCATGTCCCTCAACAATAGAGTTTTTCATTTTGCTTAATTCATGTAATGTATTAACTGCGATTGCAGCTATGCCAAGAATGATGATGCAATGGCAGCCTCGTTTTTTCATAAAACTGAACTTGGGAAAATGTATAAAATTTTCTAGGAAACCAGTTCCAGTTACAATCCAAAAATTGTTTCGAAAGTTATGACAGTGGCCCAGGAAGAGCAAAGCCTTAGAACCCACTGCCCAAGAAGTGATCAAGTGAAAAATAATTCTATGACATAATTTTCTCCTTACCGTAAAGAGGGTCAAATCGACAGTAAAGCTATGTATATCGTGCTTCGTTTGCGGCATCTCCTGCAAAAACGACACGACCGACAGCTGGCCCTGTTTCAGCAACTTCGCCCGCCTCTCCGGGTCCTGCAGTCGCAACAAGTTCCTGTTGTCGGTTGCGTACCTGCAGATCATTATTATATGTAATATATGTATGTATAATGATGTATCTATTTACTAATCAATTTATTTATTTCTTTAATGTTATCACTGTCCTCATGTTGTTTTTTATCTTTACAAAATGAAATGTCCTTTCATAAATGAAAATTGAATATTCCGAGAAGGCTTCTACATAGTATGAAATATATATATATATATATATATATATATATATAGGATATATGTGTCACATATCATTTGATTGAAAATGATGCCTACTTATGGATTATAGTCACTCAACACATCAATATTGCTTATTACATCTTTTCCAGTTGTATTTCAGGAAGCGTCAATTGAATTTCAGAATGATCAATTGAATTTCAGAAAGCATCAAATGCATTTCAGAATGGTCAATTGAATCTGAGAACACATCAATTGAATTTCTGAATCGTCATTTGTATTTCGGGAAGCATCAATTTTATTTCAGAAAGTGAATGAATGAATGAATTTATGACGTTCCAACAAACATAAAAATGTCTTCTAGGAACACCTCTGTTACTATTTACAAGTCATTGTAGTTTTACAAATTACATAATATCGGACATAATGATTAGATTATTATTGATTCAAACCTGTATCAATTTAGTGAACATACGAAATACAAAATCGAAAAGACGGCCATGTAGGTATCCAGTAGCCAATCAACTGCCGAGGTACAAAAACGAAAACATCATGTTGCCGATTATCAACACAGACATTTCAACCAATTAAAAACGTGTATTTTATGAGGAGTGAAATGATCAAGTCAAATAGTTCGCTGGAATATCGAGCTACTCGACTTGATGAATCTCTGATATGAAAATGAAAATAAATCAAACGATCCCGTACCAGTTCAGCCACGGCACGGTCTTCTCCTTGCCGTACCCATAAGGGTACGCCATGGTCATCGAGAAGACGGCGTGTTCGTGGTACGCCTGCAACAGCGGCTGCCTGTTCTCCGTGTCGTAGATGAGGAAGTACTGCTCGAGGAAGCGGCGCACGGTGGTACCGCCCTCCACGTTGCACAAGAAGGTTTGCTGGTGGGCAGGCATGTGGTGTTCTTCGGCTATGTCGAAGCTGATGGGGGGCGGGAGGTCTACGCCATCCTATGTTCAGAGTGTAATGGGTCAGGTTATTTTAATTTATTTATTTATTTTCATTGATACATTTCATACAAATTATACAGGGTGTTTCTTAATGATATGCTAATATTCAAGGGGCCGATTTTATTTATTTATTTATTTATTGAACAAATAACTTCCAGACAGAATAGGCTCTGGTATAAGGAAGTACATAATTATATACCTATAGGTAAACATATCATTATACAAAATATATCAACAACTGTAAATTGACAAACAAAGAATAATATTTGTAAAAAAAATGGCATGTTCAATTTTATCCAGTTCGCTCAGAAATAATCAATTTTTTCACTTCATTTTTGAATGAACCTATATTTCTGCAATTTTTTATATTGTCAGGTAGTTTATTGAATTCAGTTAAGGCTGAATGAGTGAATCTTTTTTGTCCGATAATGGAGCTAGCGGCGTCAAGATGAAACAAGTTATATTGTCTTGTTTCATGATTATGAATTTCTGAATTCCGTATCAACATAAAATTCGACTTCAATTTTTTATTTATGATATTATATGATATTTTGAGAGTTTCAATCCTATATATTTCATCTAAAGAATACGTATTTGTTATTTCAAACAATTGATTGGTTGGTGTATCAAATGGGAGACGATACAATACTTTTAACGATTTTCTATATAATGTTGATATTTTATTGAAATTGTTCTTTGAACAAGTTCCCCAAACATTTATTAAATAGTTGATACGACTCAGTATATGAGAGTAGAGAATCATGTTTGCAATTTTAATATCAAGTTTGGGACATCTTCTCAATGCAAAAATAATTGGACATATTTTTTTTGTCAGAACATCAATATGTTTGTCCCACTTCGACCTGTCATCAAACCAAATTCCAAGATATTTTATCTGGTCAGTTTGTTTTAAGAGTTCATTTTTCATTTTAAGGTTGAGGTAAATTTTTTCTTTATTTTTTTGGTGAAAAATCATATATTCTGTTTTTTTAGTATTTATCGATAAAAGGTTAGAGTGGAGTCATTTTTCAAATATTTTCAAGTCTTCATTTATCATATTTTCTAAATTTGAAGGATTCTTGCCTTCATATAAAAGTACTGTATCATCTGCATACATGGTATATTTACTCGTGAGACCAATTTCACTGATATTTTGAACATAAAGTAAATATAGTATAGGTCCTAAAACAGAGCCCTGTGGGACACCCTTATTGATTAATAGTTTATTTGACACAGAGTTGGTTGATTTTGTATTGATTGTCCTATTTTCAAGATATGAATTCAAAATATTTCTCACAGTGCCTCTGAGTCCCATTGTTTCTAAGTTTTCTAAAAGTGTTGTATGATCAACTGTGTCAAAAGAATAAAACTTCATATGAACATATGTCGTAAACGTCCTAACTTTTGAGATACAGGGTGTCAATGTTGAAAATATGAATAGATTTTTTTTGTCCACCCTGTATAGCTTTTCGAGATGGCAAAATTCAGTCTGCTATGTAACTGAATTGGTGTACAAATTTCAAAATGTTACATACCTTGGTTATCCAGTAATGAATGTTCAGGACATGGAGTACTCAGACATCAAAATTTGAAGTCTGGTCTCGTATTTCCGTTTTTTCTCGAAAACGAAGCGTTCTATCGAGTACCAACAAGAGGATCTTTTTCGTACATAATTAAATAGCCTTTCATGACATTGTATGAAATTTGAAATTTTGTTGTCGTTGCTCACTTTAAAGTAAAATACAAACAATAATGTTCAAGTAACGTGGCCACTGGTAGAGAATACGAAAATTTTTAGAAGATGCACCTTGATGCATGAAAGACGTGCACCAAATTTCATGGAGATGTATACAATATTGTCTCAGTTATTATCAAAAAACTGAATATTTTCCAAAACTTCATCACCCTGTATCTCAAAATTTAAGACTTTCATATGAAGTTTTCTTCTTAAAATGAGTCAAAGAATCATCCCCTTGAATATTAGCATGTCTTTAAGGAACACCCTGTATATAGAGTATGATAAATTTTCTAGTCATGAATGATCAGACAGTAATTCCTGGTATAAGCTCATTCATGCAGTATTATCGACTGTTGTATAATTGAAATTACAAATAGTGAACAAAACTTACATATCATTAAGATATCTCAAAATAACAGGCATATAATAGTGAACAACAAGGGGAAAAACAGTGAAGAAAAAAAAAGAAGGAAATTCATAGTCTTTCAGCTTTGATCATTCCTTTGCATATAAATATATTTCTTCACTTTATTTTTCAATTGTATAATATTTGGGCTGGTTTTGATATCATCTGGTAATTTATAGAATTTCAAAATCGCCTCATGTTTAAACTTTTTTGTCTAAGTTTAGAATTTACAGCTTCAAGATGAAACAAGTTCCTAATTAATATAAAATTTGATTCAAGCTTTTTGTTGATGATATAATAGGAAATTTTGAGAGTATTGAAAAAAGAGTGCTCTCCCAAAGAAAATGTGTTTGTTTCCCTATACAGTTGATTTGTTGGAGTATCATATGGAAGACGATACAATACTTTCAATGCCTTTTTATATAGAACAGAAATTTTGTTGAAACTATTTTTGGAACAAGATCCCCAAATATTTATGAGAGAGTATATGTGGATAGAGAATAATATTCGATGTATATGTACTAAATTTAGGACATCTTCTCAAAGCACCAATAATGGGAGATACTTTTCCTATGAGGATGTCAATATGCTTTTCCCATGTTAATTTCTCATCTATCCAAATACCAATGTATTTGGTATGGGCAGTTTGTTTCAAACGTTCATTTTTTATTTTATCGATCCAAATACCAAGGTATTTGGTATGGGCAGTTTGTTTCAAACGTTCATTTTTTATTCTAATATTAAGATCAACATTTTGTTTATTTCTTTGGCGAAAAAATATATATTGAGTCTTATTAGAATTAAGAGAGAGAAGATTGGAATGAAGCCATTTATCAATTTTTTCAAGTCCTCATTTATGATATGTTCTAGAACTACTGGGTTTTTATTCTCATATAGAAGCACTGTATCGTCTGCATATATGGTATGGTTTCCTGTAAAATTCATTCCTTCAATATTTTGAATGTATAATAGATAAAGAAATGGACAAAACACTGATCCTTGAGGAACCCCTTTGTTTGAATATAGTATCTTAGACTCACAGTTATTAATTTTAGTTCCAATAGTTCTATTTTCAAGATATGATTTCAAGAGATCGTGTCCAATTCCTCTGATTCCCATTGAAGCAAAGTTTTTCAGAAGTATATTGTGGTCAACTGTATCAAAAGCCTTTTTGAAAGTTGCTACTACATAATTTCCTTTGTCCTGAATGAAATTGATTACTTGTAGTACTGTTGATTGTGTACCAATGTTTTCTTGATATCCGAATTGGTTTAAATCGAATCCATATTTTTTATTGACGAAATAATCTACAATTCTTCTTTTTAGAATTTCTTCTACAAATTTGGAGAAAATACTTAATAATGCTATTGGCCTATAATATACTGGATTTTGAGCATCATCACTGCACTTTTATATATAGCCCGTAAGGAGGTATTTTTCAATTCATCTGGAAAAATACCTGTTGTGAAAGATTTATTGATCAATTTTGTTAGTGGTTTGGCCAAAATATTTTTCAATTCTATCATCATTACAATATTACATACAAAGAAACAGATACATCATTAGGCCAGTCGTAACGCACACAAAAATTTGCTGCACAAAAACATGGGAAATTGGCTCTCCGTCAAATTGGCTGAAATTCCACTATGTTGTTATCGAAGGGCCCATCAGAAAAATATGCAAATTTAAAAGTATATTATATACGTAGGATGAGAATCGAGCTATTAGAAAGGAAATAATGTGCGAGCTATATAATAGCATTCTCATCCGAGGTATACATAATATTTTTTCCACCACTAGCTATAAAACCTACTAAATTCAGTGCTCAGATTATAGGGGACATGGAATCAAATCACATTTGTGAAATTAAATTGGACATGAGCTGTATGATGAATAAAGCATGAATTACATCGTTTTCTTGTGCCAGAAAAGTGAATTACTTTGTGGCAGCAGTTTTAGCCAATTTTGGTCGTGATTTAGCTCCCTGTGAAATATGAATTATAAAAAGAAGGGCCTATAGTCCAATAGATGAAGGAGGAAAAAAAGGCAGAGTTAACGTTAATTACGCACTATTTTTATCTTCCGGTTGGAAGTAGCTTTTGGTACCTCATTAAACATGAGACAAAGTTTGGCTGGAAAACGCGTGCGTTGGCGGAGAAAATGGCCCCAAAAAGACTAGGAAAATAGGTTTTCAGCCAATATCTCCTAAAATATGGCAGTTAGAGATTTTCGGTTCAGATAAAAATTGAAGTTCAGTTAATTTTCTATAAAAATGGTCCTTATCACTTTTCTCGAAAATTTGCCCGGTTTCGAGAAAAACGGCACGAAGCGCACCTCGAATAATGAGCTTCTGTTGTATGCCGGAGAGCACAGTCAGTGTATTTACACATCGGCGGGGGGACAAATTATTCAATAACTTTGTTAAAAATGCATATTTTCTCATGATTCAAAATTCATGTGGAAGAGGAATTCTGCTGCTATCTTACCCTGCGTGGCCGCATGGTTTGTAGCAGACGACCCGAGCGCCACGTAGAGCACACACGCGGCGAACGACGGAGGAACGAAAGTAATAAATTATAGCGTGTACATTTAGATATACTGGTTTTTTCCCGGGATATCAAATGTATGACTTATATACATCGATGGAAAGGTGGGAATTTCCCCGTTACACTAGTTAAGGTGTTAAAATGTTAGAAATAAATAGCACGCAGAAAAAAACCACCGAATAAAAGTGCGTTTTTTCCTTGACCCCGCTTTTTCTAATTTTATTGAAAAATGGACAACTTCGTCTAACAAAGTAATTGCACAATCGAAAAGTAGACCTTCTTAGCTTTCAAATGATGTATCATAGAAACCAATCGGATCATGTATAAATTTTTAATTGATGGTTGTTCACAAAATTTCCCCGCGCTCCAAAAACAGCAAAAAATTGGGAATCAATAAACAAAGATTAAATGCAAATTAAAAAAAAAAATAGGGTATATAAATTTCAGGGATGACGAAGGATCTTATGAGGACCCATAATCAAGAGAATTTTGAGTAAATTAGTGCAATACAAAAAAAATAGGAACAAATTCCTTTCGAGGTCAAAATTGACCGGGAGCAGAAAGTTTGACCCATATTCCGATATGGCCAAAAGAGTCAAACGTGACTCAATTCACAGGGTATGATAGCAGCAGAATTCCTCTTTCACATGAACTTTGAATCATGAGAGAATATGCATTTTCAACAAAGTTATTGAATAATTAGTCCCCCCGCCGATGTGTAAATACACGGACTGTGCTCTCCGGCATACAACACAAGCTCATTATTCGTGGGGCGCTTCGTGCCGTTTTTCTCGAAACCGGGCAAATTTTCGAGAAAAATGATAAGGACCATTTTTGTAGAAAATTAACTGAACTTCAATTTTTATCTGAACCGAAAATCTCTAACTGCCATATTTTAGGAGATATTGGCTGAAAACCTATCTTTCTGGTCTTTTGGGGTCATTTTCCCGCCATCGCACGCGTTTTCCAGTCAAACTTTGTCTCAAGTTTAATGAGGTACCAAAAGCTACTTCCAACCGGAAGATGAAAATAGTGCGTAATTAATGTTAACTTTTTCCCTTTATTTATTGGACTACTAGCGGCAACTGATACCTGACGCTTTTGCAACAATGCAAACAAAACCGCAGAACACATACTTATGTAATTAAATGTACTAGGCTGAATCGCCTAGAACAGGTTTATCTAACGCCTGATGAGGTGGAAAATTCAACCGTCAAAGAAATCCCATGCTTCATCAGGAGTCTAAGGTTAGAGGACTAGAATTATAGTTAAGAGTAATCACATTAGATTATCTAGGTCGCAGTGTTCGAGAGGTCTTCCAGCCTATATACGACCCACCTGCAATCTACAAATGTGAATCTCAAGTGGTTTTGAAGTAAAGTCAATTTTCTAAAAACTTGACAAAAGACTCACCAATTTCATGCACTTCGGGAACCTCTTCCGAACTTCACTGTAGACAGAAAAATCATCGAGGCCGTACAGGCCCACGTGTTATATAGTTTTTCCTGGGAACACTCGCACAAAGCATAAATAACATTAGTTATTTATGTAGCAAGGGCGTAAAGTAGGCGTTTATGGCCTGTGGCGTGAATAATGGCCCGATGGCGCTAGCCGAGGGCCATTACACCCTGAAGGCCATAGACGCATTTCACGCACGAGATACATACAAAATTTTATGCACTAGTTGTTTATTTTCTGACTCATAAGTAATGACTATAGATTTCGACAAACTAATATTCCCCAGAATTTAATTTGTTACGTATTAATTCAGTAATCAAGAGAAGCGTGATGTTCATGGATGATTTACATATGAAAATTATCGTACGAATATTGCAATTATCGTAATAGTAAAACTCTTTCAGCTCTAGAAGAGATTCATTCTTCAGAGTTTTACAATATGCATACCCAGTATATAAACCTAACTTATTTAATTTTGACGTTGTCAATCAATCAGATGGTTGTTGTCAATAGCAATACATCCAATGAACGAGCTGAATTGTCATTCTTCGACTGAAAAGTCAAATTAGTGATAATAATAGCGAGACTATGGAATCGGATAAAGAAGAAGTTAATGATATACCGCTCGATATATTAGAATCTAGGAATATGATCATAGGTTTTTCTCGAATTGATATGTGGATATAAGGTGACTGAGAACAGCGGGCGGTGAAGTGCACTTTACGGCCCGTGGGCCATAAAGAGCCCGCGGGCGGTAAAGTGCGACTTAACGCCCGCAAAACCGGGCGGTAAAGCGCATTTTACGGCCCGCTAGTGCATAAAAACAATTATGAAACAATGTGAAATCCCGACAAAAAACATGTAGTGATAAATTATATTAGGATAATTATAATCACACTGTAATTAGTGCAATGTTAGGAGATTTTGACAACAGTCAAGTTGTAGTGTCTTGGAAAGGATAAAAAAAATAATTGTTATTCTTAAAGATTATTCATTCAAGTCATAATCATCCAAATATAATGTATCACTACATACATGTCTACAACTTGAAACACATTTTTTCGGCAATCTGAAATTCTGGAAATCACAATACACAAATTTAAACTCCGCAGGCGGAGTTGGATGGGATGAAAAAGTGTTATTTTTTACACAATGGAGATCAGATGAAAGTTTCATAAAGTAGGTCAAAAAATATTAATAAATACAATTTGTGCTCACAATACTATTGCAATGAATTTGAGTTAATTTTTAACAAAATGACTTAACAGCATTACGAGCACTCATTATATCGAAAATACTTTCTTACTCCATGACGTTACATCATGTCAAACAGTAATTGTGTTTGTTCATTGTGATTTTGTTGTTTGTTTTTTGAGTTTATTGGTTAGTTTTTGAACAGGAAATTTAAAAATAAATAAATACATATTTCGTGTTACTGATGAGAGATTTTCCATGAATTCAATTTGATAATCATTGAATGGCATGAAAAATATCAATGAGAACATCCTCAAACATCAAATAGAGCTGCTGCAGACGCATGCGCGTTTCGGTGATATTGTATATCATCAGCATAGCCAAGCTACAAGATTTTCAGCAAATCACAATTTGCCCTACCATGCATCTGCAACTGCTTTATTCGATTTTCGAGGATTTTACCAAATTTGTTTTATAATATTATATAATTTCACCCCGCTCCTACATAAATTAAAACTTAACATTTATGATTTGTGATTCGCCTGGAATTTATGGCTGATATCTTTAGTGACAATTCTTTCAGGATACTGATTTCATTTTCAATATATACAACACCAATTGATACACTAACCAGGCTTCCATACAAACGTTGCACCCGGGAAAAACCTATAATTCTATATAGAAGCAAACAAATTGAGTGTCAACTTTTTTTAATATTCCTCACATTTCTCTGTATCTTTTCCATTCTTTTTCACTATTTCTTTTTTTTTCATATTTTTTTTTTATTTTTTTTGTTATCTTTTATGTATTTTTTTTTTTTCGTTTTTTTCTTGTTAACTATTAAATTTCAAATTTGTGCATTCAAACTAGAGCAATCCCTTAAATGACTCATTATAAGCACATTTATTTCGTGATAGCACACTTTTGGCAACAGCTGATAAAACCCCAGATAAGTCCTACTGTTACTAATACCATGCTGGTAAAAGCAGAGCAGTTTTAGACTTATACGTAATCGTTCACCAAATCGTTGTTATGCTGCCGTATATTTTTCTTTTCACTTCCATTGTCTGAGCAAAATCTTGCATGCCTCAAACATCACCAGATTGTTATCCAGACGATGTATGTCGATAGTGACTGCTCATCACAAAATAACGTGCCTATCATACCATTATCTTTAAAAATAGTTTGAACGCACAAAAGAACTACTTTATTCACACATATAAGTTCGCCCCTACATAGAAGAGTGAGAGAAAAATTTAGCAAATTCATGATTTTGCCTTATTAGTGTATTCATTGGTATTGATATTTAGCAAATAACTTCTGATAGGTTGAAAACCGTCCCAAGTAATGTTTGAAGAAAATTGTACAGTTGTATTAGAAAAAAGCGTAGGAGTATTAGATTGAGAAATTAACGTCATCCTTGTTGCGTAAAACGAGCTATCGGGAATGATTATTTACCAAATGTTGACAGTTCTCACAGGTTGCCAAAAATACAAAGCAGTGGCTGAGCCAGTTTTACACAACTAGAACTAGGATGATGTTAACCACCCTTTTCATTACTTGTACGCTTTTTTATTGAATACAAGTGTACTATAACACTATTAGGAATTATTATTATTGAATTTTCATTACAACTATCGCCCTAGTTATTGCTAAAAGTCTAGATAGATAACTATCTGTGAGAATTCATATTTCCTCTGAAATTTAAAGAAAATGCTTAATAAACTTCTCACTAATTGGATATTCGCCAATTAGTATTAGTGAGAAAAGTAGGTGTCATTCTTTTGTTATATCTGAATTCCTTTCAAACAATCCATACCAACAATGGAGGTAACATCTTGGACAATGGATAATAGCTACTAAAGATCTTTTAGTAGATAAACTATATTTTCACTATTGATAGATAAAAAAGCTGATTCTTCGACTTGTCCATATTATATCTATATAATGAATTTAGAATTTTGCAGAATATGTACAAAATAGCAAGGAGAACAAAAAAAATAGTAAGTAATCTTCTAATTATTTCAGGGAGAGAAATGCAAGGTGTAACAAGCTTCAGTTGAAGCAAATGAATGAATATGCCTTGAAACATTATTATAGCACATCGGCTGTCGGTGCTTCATAGATTAAGTTAAAAGTCATAATTCATTCAACTAAATCAAGAAAGTACCAACAATTATTCATAGTTCATAGCCACTCCAATCATTGTTTTGAAATACTGACTTATCCAACTGACACCTATACAGGGTGAACCAATAGTGTGACAAAGCGAGATAGCAACTCTGCTATTAGAGATAGAAAAAAAATGTTCACAGGAGTTGTAAGTCCATGAGATGCATATTTTAAAATCATGCTACATTTTACAGTGTGACATCAAACTTATGTTTTTTTAAATGAAACACTCTGTATTTCATTGCATATTCATATTCTCTCTGAAGAACTAAATTCAACGATCTAGCACACTTGGGGTCTGGCAGGAATGATTACCGAGATATAGGGTGTGGAAATTCGAGATTTTTCAACTTTGGGAATTTTTTGTGACCAATCTATTCATTATTGGTCGAAACGACTTTCAGATCCCCATCTCAACTTTCCATTTACTATTTACTGACATTTATTTGAAACAAATACAGGGTGGTGTTGAATTCTGTCCTGCACCACCTTGTATCTGTTCCAATTAAATATGAGTAGATAGTAAATCAGAAGTTAAGATATGGACATGAAAGCCCTTTTGACACATTATAATTTCGACCAAAAAAATTCTCAAAGTTGAAAAATCTCGATTTTCCACACCCTCGGTAATCATTCCCGTTAGACCCCAAGTGTGCTAGATCGTCGAGTTCAGCTCTTCAGAGAGAATATCAAAATGCAATAAAATACAGGGTGTTCCATTTGAAAAACATAAGTTTGATATGTCACACTTTTTTGAGACACACTGTATAATGAAGGATAATTTGAAATATGCATCTCTTGGACCTACAACTCCTGTGAAAATTTTGTTCATCCATCTCTGATAGCTGAGCTGCAATCTCGCTTTGTCACACTATTGGTTCAGCCTGTATATCATCCAAACATCACTCATGGAAAATCTTTCAATTTACCTATATCATCAAATATATCTCCATCCTCATGAATATCAAAAACCTGTGCAATATTATTTTTGTTGACTTTTTTTTTTTCATAGGTTTTAACCATGTTCAACATCATTGACTTGAATCCATTAATTTGTAAATATTGAACAACTTTCTCAAGTGATACTAAATTGAAAGTCATACCTTATGTATTGTTCTTGATCTCTGAACTTATTACAAAGTGGATTTCCATCAAGAACAAGATCAACTATTTGTAATTCCTGCAGAGTATCTAACTGGGAAAGTTCGCGGACCTGTAAATGAGAAAATATCATAATTGAACTGTGAATGCTTCTCCTGACAATAATACCTTATTATTGCCCATATGCAAAATTTTCAGATTCGGCATCTTCTTATTCGCCTTCTTCAAGTAATTCAAAACTTGAATTTTATTATCATACAAATTCAACGCCTCCAATTGGGGTATGTTTTCTCCTATGATGTCGACTACGGCCAAAAATACGATGGGTTTGAACAAAGCACAAAAACAATCTTGCAAATCGGGATCGGCATGAAATCGAGTGAGGTCCAGCGCTTTGGTAGCATCATTGTAACGTTTCGCCATGACCAATTTCATTTTTTCTTTGGTAGCCGCATTCATGTCGACATTGGGACAACCGGCATGGACTCTGACGAACAGTCTGAAGCCATTCGGCATTTGGATCTCTCTGTCGAGGTTGTTCAATTTTTCCGCTATTTTATAGTCATCAACGTAGAATGTTACGGTGGTTCCATATACTTTCCACTGAAAATTGGATTTACTTTCATTTAATACAACTACTTCTCAATTACACCCCAAAGATCATAACTCAAAGGGAACGTTCTCCTTTTTAAAAGCTTTAATTTAACTTGCAATGAATGGATGATTGAACTCAATTTTGAAGTAGATATCTTCAACCGATTGAGCTGAAATTTTGTATACACGTTTAGTTTGGATGACAATGCACGATAAGGCGGAATAGCTATTTTTAATGCACTTCTACAATATGGGTATCAAATGAAGGAGCTCGTTGGGAGTAACTCGAAAGATGTGATGTCATTCTGAATTCAATATGGCGGACCATCCAATATGGCGGAATAGTTATTTTTAATGCACTTCTACAATATGGGTATCAAATGTAAGGGCTCGTTGAGATTAACTCGAAAAATAATGTAACGTCATTCTGAATCCAATATGGCGATATAGCGGACTATCCAAGATAGCGAACTATCCAAGATGGCGGAATAGTTATATTCAATTCACTTCCACAATGGGTATAAAACAAAAGGGCTCATTGAGAGCAACTCGGAAAATAATGTGACGTCATTCTAAATCCAATATGGCAGACCATCCAAGATGGCGAAATAGTTATTTTTAATCAACTTTTACAATATGGGTATATCAAATGAAACGGCTCGTTAAGAGTAACTCGGAAATTAATTTAACGTTATTCTAAATCCAATAGGGCAGAACTTCCAAGATGGCGGAATAGTTGTTATTCATGCACTTCTGCAATATAGGCATCAAATGAAAGAGCTTGCCGAGAATAATTAGAAATAATTCAACATCACTCTAAATCCAATATGGCAACTATTGAAATTGTTTGTGCTTTCCTATAATGAAGGGGTTCGCTGCGGCAAACGACCTTGCAACAATGATGCGTTGAATGAAAGAACAGAATGAGAAACCTAGCCAGCGATAACTAGAAATTGAAAAATAAATTATAAGTAATAACAAATTTTTGATAAAAAGCTTTTATTTAAACGCTCTAAAATGAATAAAATGATATGTTGCTTTACAATTTTAACTATGAACTCATGAACTCGTTATACACAATTTATATGATCATAAAAGCTTGTCGCGATGATCAATATTTGATTAAATTGAAATGTTAAAAATTTAAGCTCAGCAGATTCTACAAAATTCAATTAGTACTAGTTTATTCACACAAGTGAATCGCGCGACAAGCTTTTATGATCATATAAATTGTGTATAATGAGTTTGTAAGTTGATAGTTAAAATTATAAAGGAACATTTCATTTTATTCTTTTTTAGAGCGTTCAAACAAAAGCTTTTTATTGGAATTATTTTTTACTTATAATTTATTTACGATGATGTCGAATTATTTGAGGTCAACAATCATTATTTATCTATCAAGCGTTTATGGACAGCAGCGTAAATAAAGGCCCAATGGCTTCGGTAGACACTCAATATCTACATTCGATAAACAGTGACAGTTAGACATAACCACAAATGATTTTGAAGCAGATCATTTGTTTTATCAAAAAAGTACGTGAATATGCTCATCACGTATAGCTAATTCCATTAGCAGGAACTGGTGGAGAGTTTCTGCACTCAATGTATATGTTTTCTTCGTACTCGCATGAGTTAAATATACACTCAGTGGAGAAATACTCCACTAGTGTCCACCAATGGAATTCGCTATAAGATGAAAGCTTTTTGCAATTTCATTTTTCTATAATATGATCAGAGAAGAGTACAGCAATATATCTCTTGTCTTTCATTGTTGCATATCGTCTCATGATCGTCTCATCAACTGCCAACTAGGGCTCATTCTTCATGGGTACCACCATGATCAAACTCGCCCTCTGGTTAACTTTTGAACGGCCAGGATTTTGTTTGCTCAAATAGTACTTCAGGTGCTACATTTTGACTTCGGTGAGAATATTGGGCGCCAATTTGAAATATTTTTAAATAGAATGGGGAGGTAGTTGAGTGATGCTTCATTCGAAACCTCATTCAAGTCTCTAGGGATAGGATATCAGAATTTTAGATTAAATTATTTAAGTAAAACAAAATCGCGTATGACATTGTTTGAATTTCCATAGCAGGATCCTTTCGACTAGATGGCTATTAGCGAGCACTCGTGTAAACTACAACTCTCCATCAACATCTAGAAAAGTTATTTATTCAGAAGTAATTATTAAACACTTTTGAAAAAAACAGTTTCGGCTTCTCCGGAATTCGAAAGACGTACTTACTGAAAACTGAAATACGACGCTGCAGTTTTGATTCAAATGTGTCGATATTCATAAATTTGGCACTAGATACGAAATATAATCATGTGAAAACAGAATCTTCATATTTCTAATAGTTGATGATGATGGCTTCAAACAAAATTACTGACCATCTAACAGTTAGCCATCAAAATTAAATGTCCGTTAATGGTTTCCTATTACCGCCCCAAGAATCATTTTAATGCAATATATTGACAAAGTTGATGATATCGATCGTTTTAATGGTTATTTTAGATAGTAAGAATATAGTTTTTCGAGTATTATTAAGTATTTATGAACCTATTTGTTGAAGGCTATTCAAGAGGAAACCTCTCCACTGAATTTGATTCACGACGAACATTATAATCTTGTAAAAAGTGGGAACAAAATTGAGGTGGAGTAGCTTAAATCTTTCCAAAGAACTTCTGACTACTCATAATAATTCCATAATGTTAATTTTAATCTACGAATCATTACTATTATGGGTTCATACTCACGGCAATTGGCCAAAAAGGAGAAGGAGCCATTTTATCCATCAAGGATTTTAGGATAAATTCCTTATCAAATTTGTCACCATGGGGCAACTGAAAATAATAAATTGAAAATTAATCAAAGTTGCATAATATACGCTGTCAGGTACAGATGAATTTATAAATGATTGTGTATTCTATCCAAACATATAACGAAGGATCACATAGGTGTGATGTACCAATTTGGTGAAACTTGGCCGTACAGCAATTCCACTCGTCCTAACGAACTTTTAGTATTGATCAACAACATAATTTCGTAATAATAATAAATACTTTAAGAAAGGGCCAGAATTATTTCGAATATTCAGAGCAACGGGATAATGCTGTTGAAAACATCACATCTATGAAGTTGCAGTGACATACCCAGTTAAAACACTTGTAATATTTACATACATATGCCATCAGTTTCATCATATAACGGATGTTCCATAACTCAATTCTCCCAAATCAATGTGCTGTAAAATTTGGAAACAAAACTTACATACTTTCATTTCCCTTGAATTTTTCAGCGGTGTTCCATATAAGAGTGATATTTCTTTTCTTTCATATTGATTATATAACATCTTCATAACTATGATTATGTTCATACAATATCTAGAGAATTATGTCAATTTTATATAAATTCATTCACAACAAATTTATCTTCGACAAACGGACGTGACAACGACCAATATAATTGCAGTATTTCTCGAGTTTTCACGAACGAACACGAACGATAGATAATCGAGCTGGACTCGGTCGAACGGGTATTATGTTTTGTTGTGTTATTGTTCCTTGACTAGCGAGTTGAGCTAGTGCCTTGAGAATTGAGCTATCAAAGTTCAAAAATATGAATGGATCGTGGAATACTCTATTTTGGTTAGTTGAACAATATGTATAATGCATGTTTTTTTAATAAATAATGTTCAATAAAGTATTAATCAGTCTGATAATTATCTTTCATTTACATTCACAGAAGTAATATTTTAGATTCTGACGACACATTAACTACTCATTGATGTAACAATAAAATAACATTAGAATTAAATAAAAGTGATGTAACGTATGATGTAACGTCATGCGGATATTATGCACAGGTAAGTCATGAATTTTGAACCTACTAATTACCTCTTTTGTTACGTAACTGATCAACGAAATTATATAATGTTTTCTGGGTATAGGTGACGTCCAAAGAACACATCGGTCGGTATACCAATTTGGTGGTGTTTGTTTTCCAAAGAATATATATCACTAATGTGCTATTTGCTTTCCTGTTGAGTGACGACGAATACATACATCTACGTTTCTCATTGAAGTTATGCTCCTACCCTAACATTCAATGAACTGCTATCTAACTATTTTCGGTATCTTTACATCTCGCCGATACTCACTATAAGTACATGATTTAAGATATAAATTCGAGTAACTGATCTTACTCTGACGGAGATGCGTTGTTGAAAGAAATGGATATGACACACGTGGAGTCGAGGAACCACCAACCACCAATCATATCACAATGACGCATATTGAATATCAGATATTCATCAAGTTTGAGGAGACTTCTTCCACGACTCATGACCAAATTTAGACATCATTTCGACGTGACCGTGGTAGGTCCCTATAGAATCTGAGTGACTAACGTCAGTAATATGACGTCATGACTGTTATTCACGTCATATGACGTCACCTAGGTCACCTACTGACGTGAATAAATCGCCAATGTAACGTCATTTGGTTGCCTGGGATTTGCCTTGAATGAAGGGTATCCAAAATCATATCAGTGATGATTGGCTGTGGAATGGAAAGAATAATCATACTTTATTTCCACTAAGACAAATAACATTGTTTAGGAATTGTCACTAGAAAACAGAAGAAGAAAATGTAGAAAAGTTAGATGAATAAAGAAGAGAAAATAATAATAGAAATTGGTAATGTCTAAAACTAATATTATTTAAAAAATTCTGACACTGTATAAAAAATTGTCTCCAATAAATAGTCTTTCAACATACTTTTGAACACACCTACTTAACGTGTTTCACAGACCTCAAATTATCAGAAAATTTACTATATATTTTAGGTCCGATGCAGTCAGGTGCAAATGAACTCAGTTTAAACCTTGCCAACCAACAACAAATCAAAATTAATAGTTCATCGTAGATGAATAAAAAAATCTAATAAGAATGTTTTCAGAGAATAATTTTGACAATTGAAAGTACTACTGATCAATTCAAGTTATCTATCACAACTCTTTGTTTTTATCACAGTACTGTAAAAATCCCTTTGTAGGGAGGGTGAAATATAATTTACAATATAAGTAGAAGTTTTGGATCGGCTACTGCTTACAGTTGAGAAGTAATCACTGAAAAAGTTGCTAATAGTCTGGGTAGCATGAGCATTTCGAAGAAGCTGTACACCACTGCCTGTAGTTATTTTGTGCTTCTTTGATTATTTTCCAAGATTCTTTCACCTTGTTTTCTGCTGAAGAGATTCTATCATTACACGTGTTTTTGGCATGTTTCAATGTTACCTGATATATTATTTTGAGCTCTTGATCCTCATCATGATATAAACCATGTTTATATATTTTATTAAGCTCAGATAACTCAGTTAACTTCCTGCTCATATCTCTCAATTCCTCAGTGATCCATTGAGGTTTCCCAGATTTTTTATTCTTGAATAATTTTTTTGGGAATGAAAGATTTAAAAAATGAGAAATAATATTATGAATATACTCAAACTAAGAATTTACACAAACTTCATCATAAAGTAAAGACGAATCAGTTCCAGAAAGCACAACGTCGAACATCTGGATGTTATTTTCACTGAAGGATCTAATGAGTGTTTTGCGTTTATCAGAATCACCCCATATGCCTGTTGGTTCGCTAACATGTTGCTGTAGTAAATTCATGAATAGGCGAGTGGACTAATTTTTTTTTATTTCTTATATAGAATCATCACTCAAATACCTTTCAATTCCATATTTTTTTAGAATTTTTCGGTCGATTTTTAGGTGTTAAAATCATCAATAATGCCACGGTAATTATCAAACGGATAGAAATTTACCAGGAGAAAAAAACTGCCGTAACGATTTCGTAAGTAAAGGCCGACCATAGCACAGTTGCCATGTGTTGAAATCCGACTGGGAACTTAAGAAATATAAGTTATTCAAACATTCATGAATTTTCAGTTATGTATTGGTAATATTCCTATTTAGCAAAACAAAATCAATTGTCTCAAAATGTTCCCTTATGATTTGTGGCTTATTGCTTATAATATGTAGGTGTAGGAGATTATTATGACCCTCGATATATTATATATTGTATTGACGTGGTATTGTGTAGTGATGACGACAAGATAGTATTAACAGTATTTTATTCATACATTAAATATTTGCCTAAACCAAATTTTGTTCATCTAACAACTTGTTCTCAACAACCGTTCGAAACAATTCATATAGACTTCGGAGAGATATCGAAAGAATCAGACCTGAACAGGAAATCGAAATCGTTCATTATTATTATCGATGAAGCAACCAGATACGTTTCAGCTAAAGCAATAAAGGAAAGTTCAACTGCAGTTAAAAATTATATGAACCATCTACCATATCTAGAAAATATAAAAAATATTGTTAGCGACTGTGGAAGAGCATTCATGTCTTCAGAACTAAAAGAATGGGCTTCATCTAAGGGCATCAACTTGATTCATACCACCCCATATCATCCAGCAGGTAATGGCATTGCGGAAAGAGCAGTTCGAGAATTGAAGACCTACCTGAAATGTTACGAAGATTTTCCAGGTGGATGGAAAAAGTGTTTAGAGGCATCAGTTCAGCATCACAACTATTTGCATAATGACTACTTAGGTTGTTCACCAAATTATAAGTTACCTGGGAAGACGACAATACTACAAGCCGATAGAGACCTAGGAATAGAAGTATGTTCCAGAGAGAGTCTTAAGACTGTGGAGGAACAACGCAAATATAAGGAAAAAGTACAAAACAGGCAAACAAGTCAAGAAAACTTAAACCACCCCGGTTGAGAATAGGCGACTGGATATTAGTACCAACACAACGAGTCGGAAAGATTATATAACAAGAGGTCCTTTTCAAATAACGAAGGTCAAGTACATTGATGGGATTCTTGGATATGTTCACTTCAAAGTTGATGATATGGAAGAGACAGCACATATATCGAATATACGACAGTTTCATCACAGGAGCGATGATTTTTTTAAAGGGGGAGTTCTGTAGGTGTAGGAGATTATTATGACCCTCGATATATTATATATTGTATTGACGTGGTATTGTGTAGTGATGACGACAAGATAGTATTAACATATTTATTATGAATGATTCATGTATGAATAAAATACTGTTAGAATTATTCTACATCAGTTAGATATTGTTACATAATACATTCGTGTAAATAATAATTAGTAATTATATTAATAATTCACAATAGAGGACATTTGAACCGGTGAACGTGACAACACTGCGCAGACGATACTTCTCACCATACAGCACAATGTTTCCAAGTCTCCAACATTCACATGATATTTTGTTATGGAGTATAAGAAAAATATTTGGACATGCTGTTTGCTCGAAAAAGTCAAGAATGAAACCGGTGTGAAAGCAGCAACGCGACATCATCCAGCAACGAATGAGATCAACAGGGGCAGGCCGCAGAGAGACGATATCCATATAACTCTTGCAAATCGAATTAGAAATGCATATATTATGAATTTCATGATTTGTTCTGCTATAATGAACACTTCACTTGAAAAGATCAGATAGTTGTGTGATTTTGTAGCATCCATTCCACCCATCTTCCACCCTCTTTTCAATATAATTCAAATTCCAATTTGGAGGTCAGGAATTGATTTTTCCAAAAAAATTTTTCTTGAAACAGATGTCAAATACTTTCCTGAACACGATCAGATAGTTGTCTCATTTTGTAGCATCCATTCCACCCCTGTCTCACCCTCTTATCAATATATAATTCGAATTCCAATTCATGTCAGGAATTGATGCTACAGAATCAGACAATTCAGGAAGCTATTCGACATCTGTTTCAGGAAAAAAATATTGAAAAAATCAATTCCTGACCTCTAAGTTGGAATTTGAATTAAATTGATAAGAGGGTGAGAGAGGGGTAGATTGTAGATTGTAGATGGGTCCTATAGGCTGGGAGACCTCTCGATCACTGCGACCTAGAAGATCTATTGTGATTACAACTATCTAGTTTTGGTCCTCTAACCCTAGACTTCTGATGAAGCCTATGATTTTCCTGACGGTTGATTTTTCCACTTCAGCAGGGGTGAGATAGGCCTGTTCTAGGTGGTTCAGCCTTTGGCGGTGAGAGAGGGGTGGAATGGATGCTACAAAATCAGACAACTATCTGATCGTATTCAGTAAGCTATTTTACATAAGTTTCAAGAGAAAAATCATTCAAAAATTCTTTCCAAAGCTCTGAGTTGGAATTCGAATAATATTGATAAGAGGGTGAGAGAGAGAGGTGGCATGGATGCTACAAAATAAGACAACTATCTGATCTTGTTAAGTGACGTGTTTTCTATTTATTATAGCAGATTAAATCGTGAAATTCATAATATATTCGTTTCTAATTCCATATAAAAGAGTTTTATCGATACCGTCTCTCTGCGACCTGCCCGTGTTGATCTCATTCGTTGCTGGATGATGTCGCGTTGCTGCTTTCACACCGGTAAGAATGAACTATAATATCATGGGTTCCTCCTATTATGTTTCATTCAACGACAGGACTCTTACATCTTCTTGATAACTGAAGATTATCTGACCAATAACGAAACAGCATAAAAGCTGTCGTCACCATTTATTCCACGTATCCCCAAATGGTGGCCATGACGGTACATTTGAAATGAGCTCGGGAGCTCCGAAATCCAACAATTTCAAACAAAGCATACACTCATTATTTACATAAAAAAAGCATGAGAAGCAATGCAAAAATTAATTTAGGTCCGTAAAGACACAGTGGAGTAATTGAATGCCAATAATTCATTACAAGTTCACTTGCCCATTCAGACCTCATATTGCTATTTTTCAGCATATTAATATTGAAGTCTCTGCAAATTATTATGTCAAAGTTCTTGTACTTACAATAAAGCTGTTCAATGGTTGGTTGAAAGTTCAAATGAATCAAATAAGATTTGAGTGTTACCTATATAGAGGTGATATGTATACTGACAAAATGATAATAGGTACTACTATTTGGTTTCAATTCCAAACCACATATTTTGATGTAGTTCTGGACACTAGTAACACAGGCAGTTTTATTAACATTTCATAAGGTTATAGTTAGCTAATTTAAAACTAACAGCCAGCTCTCACTTATACATAAAATATCTGGAGACTGTTGATCTAGAATGAATTCAATATCAAGTAAATTATTAGAACAACCTTGTACATTGAAGTGCATCATGCACAATTCTGAGTTAATTGTACCAAGTCTTCTATCATAGTCAGATGGAGCACATTGGTTAACTGGGGTTAATTGTATCATTTATTAAATCATGATTTTCCCTAATCATCTCTAATGCAGTGGCTCTAAATCATATTTGTGATAATAAAGAACAAAATTGAATCTTCTATAACCAACTCCCATTGGCCAAAAACTAGGACTATGAAAATGGTTTTTAATGTTCTCAGTTTCTTGACAAAAAATTCACCTTCAGTACCAGTCTTAGTCTTTAAGTATTCTTGAGTGTCCTGACCATTTACATCCTGGTTTACTCCATTCAGAAACATTCAAACTTTCTAGACTTTGACCTCTAAGTTTTCGATTTTGGTTTTCAGTCAGCCTAGCCCATGGCTCTCTTTTCGTGTTTATTTTTCTTCTGATTAATTGCCATTTGTGTTCATTTGAAGGCTCAGCAGCATTGTTCTCACCAGAGAAATGATGATTTATTTCAGAGGAAATGCCCTTCCAGAGATTAGTGTTTTTCAAATGCCCCCAAGGGTAGGAGGATGATCTAGTTCTAAGAGCCATCTAGTGGCAGAAGTGCAAAGGTGTATAAGTAGATTATTTAAACAATCATACCTTGTGAGTATGTCAAATATAGACAATCACAACACTAGCATTCTCACAGTGGTTTATTGTCCCACTGACAGATGGTGAGAAACCTAAAATCTCATGACTAAGAGATTTTAGGAAAATTTTGCAACTGATGAGGCTTGGTAAAGCTTTTCCTCTAATAAAGTGATTTTGTCTTGCACTAATGAAATTATACTTTACTTGTCAGTGATTATTGTATCTTTGTTTGAGTAATTCATTCTTCCCCCTGATATGCTTCTGCAGTCAAAGATACATTATTGTGTTCATTTCATTAATTTCATACACATTTTTCAACCAATTTCATTCTTGTGTTTTTGATATGCACAAAAAAATCAGGCCATGTTCCTGCTAGAAATGAGGAGGGGCAAGGTGGAACAAAGCCATTGTTATTCTGAATTTCTAGTGAGTCTAATCACAACAATGTTTCATGGGTGGTAGGCAAACTTTCTGTAGTCTCAATTCTATATTCCAGTTCAACAACCATTCACCAGGAATTTCAATGAATAATATTTACCATATGAGTGTGTTACAAGAGAAATTTTTGAAATGAGACTGTCAGACCAAGTTTGATAACCCTTTGATAATTGTCTTAATATGAAATATTGATACTATAAATATCCTGAATTATTTCACCTACCACCAATGAAAGGTATTCATGCAGGAATTAATGTGATATTTGATTGGATGTAATAAGGGCAATAATTAGCTGAAATTGGAAACTGCCAATTTAAGTACCTCTACATTGCTTTTATTAGTGTAGTGAAGTACCAGCTCATTACAACATTGATATCTACTTCACTGAACTAGTGACATCAGAGTTCATGTGCTTCCTTCTTCATCATGTTGAGGAGAATAATTTTAGATGCAATCTTATAGGAATACCATCTTACTGGCTAAAGAACATAAGGTAACAGCACCTCACTGATTATGCATGAAGACACCAACACATAGGCTATTGGTCATTGGTGGCAACTCTCATTTCAAGTTACATATTGGAATACACAAGTACCTAGTCATTTTAATCAGTTAAAACATGTCAGAACTGTTATATATAAAGGTTATAAAAACATGAAAATATATCAATGCAGTGCAAGGTGCTGTGATAATTCCTTTATCTCACCATGTATTTCTTCTTGCAATACCAAACTTCAATTATTCAAAATGTTACTGGGTATTCACTTACTGAAACTTTATACCAGTTGGTGGGTCCTTCCATCAACTTTCTCTTTCCATTAGAAGGAGGCATTGGGGAACCTTTCCTTCCCCTCTTTCCCCTATTGTTGAACTTGTTTGATCTGCCAGAACCTGATGCAGAGAATCCCATATCCACATCTTCATCCTGAAGATGCTCTCTGAGGGCATTGCCCCAGTCTCTACCTTTGTTGTCTTTTCTGCCACCACCTCTATTAGATTTGAAATGTACTCTACGGTCTGCAAAGTCTCGGAAGTCCCTATCCCTCTCTGAAAAATTGAATAATTACTCTTGATCTTGGAATAACCTGGACAAACCAATGGAAATAATCATCACACTCACGGTCTCTTGCCACCCATGGTGTTTGTTGTTTGTTATAATGCTGCTTAGGCATTTTGTTTGGAGTAGTTATCACCAGCAAATAATATTCACAGTCAACAATTACGTTGAATCAAACTTATAATTCGCTTCTTTTTATCACAAAAATCATAAATTTCACAACGTTATAGATTTTAGATTTGCTTTTTGCAGAATCTATCTTATCAATCTTATCATCAACCATCAATATCTGCTGCTTGCTTCTGTCAATTGCTGTCATCGGTGTCACCTGTCATGACGTCATGTGTCATTACAAGGTGTGTTCGGTTTAACAAAATCGGAGCCGAGCGAGCAGATGCAGATTTGGTGTCACGTGATCACCTAGCAGATAGAGCTAAAGATATTTAACGAACGCTCAAGGAGGTAGTAGATTGCGAGCGCCAGCTGTCAGAAGTAACAGAAAACAGAAACAATTCACTTAACCTTATTACTTTTGAAAACACGTCAGGGCAACAAAGTTCTATTGAATGTTTGTTGTTTATATTTTGAAAATTACTAGGGAAGGACTGATTCTGTCTCATATGATCGGTCATTAACTGTGGATCCAGGGCAGTTATGATCGCATATATTACAGATATATAATTAACATGCTACCTACAGCAAATTCGTCGGTCATTCTGGCGATTCTGGGCAAGGAGGATTCTACAAAATTCAGTTTCGTGTTTCGTTTCCAGTTGATCGAGTCTTCAATTTTTCGACATAAAAGAGATAAAATTTCAATAACATGTTGTTGACATTGATTTGTTGACAATTGACAACCAAATAACCGATCAAATCTGAATGATCTGCTCCTCAAGGCGGAGCAAACAGATTACATCTTTCAGCTCGCTCTGACAATTAACGAACACGGAGCAGATTAGACAGAGGAAGTAGATCTGATTTATCGAACGCTTTCCGAGCTAACAGATGGAATCGAGCTAACAGATATGTTATAACCGAACGCACCTAAAGTTGGTAAACCTGGGTATACCTTGATATTGACAAGACACTTGAACATCGCTGGCTGTGTCTAAGTCACGGTTCATCGTGTGACTAATTGTGTCATCGACATCGACGTGTCGAGTGTCGACAGTATCGTAAATTCTGATTCTGATGGCTGACCAAATACAAAAGGTCCCAAAAGTCGTACAATTTTGTAGTTTTCTACCCCAGTTCCTTCCTGCTTCAGAGCTCTGTGCGAGAGCTATATGGCAGGAAATGAGGTGGTTGCAGGAAAGGTGAAATATTACAAAGTCGAAAAATACCTCCTACTAGGGTCCCTTGATGGAAATTGACGTTAAAGTCATCTCAACAGGGTACGGACAGATCCTCGTCTCCTCTAACTCTAAAGTGTTTGTGAAACAGTTATATAGTTCCATCCTTATTCAATTCTGGGGATAAACACATAAACACTAGATTTTTGACATTCGTTGTTTTTTAGGTTATATTGAGGTCACTGGCGTATCATACGTAATTTCCATATGGAATTCCTGATTCAACTATACCAAGATATAGATGAACAATCCTCTAGTTTCAGAGTTTACTACTCCAGCATAATCTTTGCGAGGTAGGGAACATATAAATTGTACCGAAAGCTTAATACATTTAACCAAAAGAGACTAATCTTTGACTGTATACCAGGGTTGACTGAATTGCCTGAATGAATTCTGATTTCAAGCTGAGCAGTAGTTCATCTATGAGCTGAATGAGCAGAGCCTTATTATGATTGAGAAATGGTGGAAACCTTGATGTGGGTATCTAAACTAATGTACTCATGTCATGTGTGCTGAATATATTTTAGGAAATCCAACTCGGAGAAGAATCTATGGAGTTACTTATATCACACTATGTTAAAACTTCGTCTAGGACGAAAAGTATGCTGATAAAAAGTAATACGTAAAATGTGTAGGAAAATAAAGAATAGAATATACTTCACCTGATTTTTCCGTCTCCCTTGAATAACAAGTCATTTTCGAATAATTTATTGATGGAAGTAACGAAAGACGAAATAATTATAATCTCCGACCCACGAAAACCCTCAGATACCAATTCCTAAATAGAATGAGATCATAATTAGAAATTTCTTCCGCTATATTTCGGATCCGTAATCTTGAATTTTCCAAGTTTGACGAAACAATCATTATCTCCAACCCCGGAAAACCCCAGACACCTTTCAATTTTGAATGAAAATGGGATCATAATTCCAAAACTCGTTCGCCATATGATATTCCTCAACAAGTAAATACCCTGTAAATACCTATTATCAAAATTTTGAATGATTTTCTGTAGCGCCCATGGATGTGGACGTGACATCAATGTCAGGGATGCCAGTAGACAAAACTAAAGTCTCTAGATCATTGAAAAAGAATGCAGCTATGATCTCTTGATCTGTCCGTAACTTTAACGTCAATTTCCATCAAGGGACCCTACCTCCTACAAGTCCACATCAGGGTTCCGCGTGAAAAAGGCAGCCCTAATGAATCCAGATATCCTATATATAAAAAAATACCATCACTAATAACTAATAAGTGAGATCTAATAAGTCACAGAAGTCTCATACCAAATATGGTATAGTGAATACAAAAATATGAAGATTCAGCCCAACATGCATCATAATATAAAATGTTGCAGATACAGGGTGTTCGAGTGAAAAATTCTATTTTAAATTTCTCCATATAACTTTTGTCAAACTTTCATCCATGTTCACTTCGAAATTCTGTTCGTTTTTAACGTTTGATACTGTTGATGGTGATTGTCATTATTATTGTCTGCTAAATATGGAGAAAAAATCTAGTGAGCTGTCATATTATATAATCATTTTATCAATATTTTATATCATCACTGTATTCTCTTCCACTGTCACTTTCCTAATAAATTTATGACTTAAAATGTTAATATGTATTAATGAGAAAAAAAATTCTTCAAAGTTGAATAAGGCAAAAACATAAATAAGCTAGACTATTTGAAATTTTTATGTAGAATTGAAGGCACTTTCAGATTTTTTACTTTATTTAATCATGGCATTTGATGGACAAGGAATTAGGCATGCTAAATCTTCATATTTTGGTGTTCATTATCTGTACTTTAGATTATGACCATTCCTAATGCATCACCCTCTTTATTGTCTATCAAGCTTTGGGAATGTTTTTACGAAATCAATAATAAATAATGTGTTACCTCTACTCTGAAATGAAGATAGATAATATCTATCCCTATATTATAGGGATATGCAGATTTTCAAGATATTTGATGGAAAATAAAAGTGCAATGTTTGCATGAATTATTTATGGATTCAATATAAAATATAGGTATGTGATATGTGATGTACTTAAACTCCACCAGGTTTACTTCTATGGTTGTTGGAGGATTCAATTCAAGGATTTTGGGCAATATGAAGGGTCTTCAGCAATGGTTGGGAGCCACGTGACAGATTACTATATGCAACAAAGGATACATATTGGTATCTCTTTCAACGTGGGTGCATGGAAAAGATGTGCTGCAACAAACATGTCATATGGCATTATTCAGTCATTGTTGAAGACCTACTCTGTTATTATAATAATCATAACCAATATTTATATAAATTAAAATAACATTTTATTTTCTAAAACTGCAGAACAACTTTTACACTCTATCTGTAAACTTAGATTGTACAAAAGTATTTGATGTAACAATGTTCAAATAATTTAAAAAATCGTTGGATAAATTATCAATTCTTGTATATAATAATAATAATTGGATATTATAAAACACTTTAAATTGACACTTGACTTCAAAAATTCACATTGATTTCTTAAATAAAAAGCCAAATAATCAATACAAAATAGGTTTTGAATAAAAAGCAGAGAACAGGGTGAGCAAGAATATTAATAAATTATTTATTTTCACAATGTTCATATTTGTTACACTTCTCAAAGAACTGAAGAGGTTCCAATATTCTACCCGTTTCAACATTTCTGGGGAACAAGACAAAACTAAAATTCAAGATTATCTAGTCTGACTTCTATCTGAACAAACCATGGAATTATTCTTCAACTGGTGCTCAACCATAGATATTTAGGAAGCACAGTTCACTTATGTATTTTAATTGTATATACACTATAGCAGAAACGTCAACCCCTTATACCTAACTATATTTCAAAATTTGAGTTCTGACTAAATTCTTATAATTGCATATTTCTCTGGAGAGAACAGTTTGACCCAAAGGTAATATTCATAAATTCAAAATATTGCATCAAAATTACATGAAAATTGGATAAATATGAAATATATATAAATATTGGATCAAAAAACTGAGAAAATTAATATAATCTATTATTATTCACAAAAATAAATATTAGAAAAATGAGACAGATGAATGCTATGGGCTAGAATGAAGTTGAGACCTCGGCAGTTGATTATAGTCCTTGTTTTAAGTCGATTTTTCACTATGTTCCTCTTCATGTTAATCCCTTCTGACAAATACCCTTCCACTGAAAAAATAAGGTTAATCAAGTTCAATTCAGCAATCATGTCATATCTCGAAAATCCAGATTATAAATGACATTTTGTTACATTAGGGTAAAAAGGAGAAATACACATCTTTGGCAATTTTTGAATGTTAACTGTCAGTTTTATGCTTTTTTACCAAATGATATGACGGTTGGTGCAAGTTATTATTGAAAATGCTTGTTAACTACTTTTATAACTTCACTAATTAATAAATTCGAAAACTTGATCATCTTAGAATTGGGAAACAGATCCCAAAGTACAAATGAACAATATATTTCACTATTCGCCGATAGTACATTGTTTTATTTGGATCAAATGTGACACTTTGTTTGACAAGCACGCAAATTTTGCGAGTCAAAGAAAATCACTTTTGATCTGAATGAAACATGCCATATTTTCTACAAGCGAAATAATTGATACCTTATTGATAAAAAATAAGTGAAGTTACTATTTTGAATCACTTGAGCATGTCAGTGTCGAAGCAGCTAACATATCAGCTGCCAACCGACACGTTTTTAGCCTAGGAGTTAAACTTCAACTTCACCTCCTACACTAAAAGTGTTGCCTATTAACATACATCATCATTTTATTGTATCAAGAGGAACGTCAACTTCAAGAGCTAATTCCGGAACAAAAATGGACGACTTTTGAGCCGATTGCAGTTAAAAAATCTCAGCGACAAAAAATCTGACATGGAATTTTTCGTCAGCGAACCGACGCTTTCCTGCCCGATCAATAAAATTCATTCTTCTCATGTGTGGTTAGTTTCAAAAAACTATCTTCCTTTCTTGGATTTCCTGATGAAAGGCAAATGGTTTTATCACCTCCTATTGAAAGAAGTTTCAAAATCTCATCTTATCGCCAACTTTGTAAAAATAGCCAGGCGTGGGAGAATCTTGCTGAATTTTCGAAATTTCAAACCAAATTGACAGGCATCATGACACATCCATTAGAGTCCACACTTTCATTGTCACAAAATTTTGTTTAAATGGAAACGGTGCGTTTTATTTAGTAGAAAATTGCACATATTTTCCTAGTGTTGAGTAGATTAAATACTATTCAAATCTCATTCTGTAGCTGAACAGAAATAGTTATTCCAGGCATAAGGAGACAACACAAATTTTTGTAATTTTCTACTACTGAGGAAGATGAAAAATTACTATGCACACTTCTATTTTGGGTCAAATATCTCGATAACTGTTCATTTTAGCTCAGTTAAAGGTGATGCATTTTTTCAACATAATTGAACAATCAATTCGAGAAATTGGAGATGATCGAAATTTCATCAGTGGCATAGAAAATATGGAAGGAAAAGTTATCACAACCATCTGTTGTGCACCTCTGGATAAAATTCTCGGAATGTCTTTCTGGTCAAAAAATTAACCATTGAAAAATTGATTGTCTTTATTGCCCCAAGAAACATAGTTGTCTATAATAGGGATACATAAACAATATACATAATGTCATACATACAATTATGAAATAATGATGAGATATAACAAGTAAAAAAAAAATGCAAATGATCATGCAATATCAACCTTGTCTTTTAGTAGGTATTCAAATAAGAAATGGAATTATCAAAGTCTCTGAAGCAGATAATTTTTCAAATTAATTTTGAATCTAGTTGCTTCCTGTATATTCCTCAATTGACTTGGTAATGAGTTGTATAGAACGAATCCTGTGTGAAAAATGGATTGTATTCCGATATTTGACTTATACGTATTTGCTATTAGTAAATTTGATTGTCTTGTTCCATGATTATGTAATGCATTATATTCAATTTTTCTTGAGATATTGCGAAAAACTATTTTAATTTCTTAACCTCAACGCCCTGTATCTTGAGAACTGAACACTTGAAGACCGTATGTCCCTATCTCAGTAATTATGAAATCACGAGGACTATCACCTGTCAAGCGTTGTCGGTCGAATTTCGCAACAACCCTGTATAAGTTATTTTTGTGTTTTGTTAACTATAAAGTTTGTATGAATTTTAAGCTTTGTTTATTGTAATGACTTTTTGTAGGTCTGACATTTCTGTATAACTTTGCCGGTTACCCCGTTATCCATCCCGCGTATAGGTATTTTCTTATGAAGGGGTGCATTCGTTTTAGTAGCTCACGGGCGTCGAATATCTTAAGACGACCCAATTTGAATCGCGACACGTTTGAATATTCGCGAAGGACACATTATGCCGAGGATTTGACTTTTTTCAATAACTTTGCTCAGGATAGTGATTGGCACTAGTGGCGTGTCTCAACATGCGCCCAGGTCATTTCGTAGTCAGATGACTGTCAAAATTTTGTAGCCGACTCTTGGACTGAATAATTACCTCATTGTCTTCTTATCCGTCGCCTTTTCTGGCCTCGCCCTATTCAACACCTTCAGGAAATCCGAAGTCTTGGCCCTCATCCTGCTCTGGATGTAAGCTTTGGAACACTTGATGTGATAGTGCAAGTAGTGTCGGAACATGTGAATTAGATTGATGGTATTGTCCCGGGTGGCCTTGGACGTGTGTCTCGGGAAGAGCACGAACGTTACGTAACCCACATTGTTGTCCACCTGTACGGAGAACGTTTTCCTCATCAGACAATTAAAAAACACTGTATCGATGGATGTTTTAAGAATTTCGTATTTTGGTCTGGTGCAGTCAATACTGTCATATGGACTTATTTTTTGGGGGCCTTAGCTCATTTTAATAAAGTTTTCATTCTTCAAAAGAGAATTGTACGATGCATGAAGGGAATCCACCCTAGTGTCTCCTGCAGAACAGTATTTATTGAATTGGGGATCATGACTCTATATTATCTCGTGATTAAAGATATAATGAATAATAAATTTGTAACAAAAAATCGTGATGTTCATAATTATAAAACACGTGGTTGTAATCAGCTACATCAGTCTTATTCCAGACTCGCAGTCAGTCAAAACTCTCACACCTATCAACAAATAAAATTTTATAACAAATTCCAAAATCTCTTTAGCGAAAGAAAAAATGAAACCTAATTTAAAGATGAGTTGACAGCATATTTCTTAAACAACGCATTTTATTGTACAAATGAATTTTTACCAATGTGAATAATTTTAGATAACTGTAATGAATTGTGTCAATTGTGTATACCTACCTGTATTAACTAGTAATGTTAATGAATAACTGTTGTACTGCCTACTTATTTTAATTGTGTATTTTAAATTTGACTAGTCCAATGAGTTTTTTGTATATTTTATACTCTCATAATCTGTACAAAAGTTTCCAGTGATGAATTAAGTATTTGTATTGTATTGTATGAGTGGAATTGAGCCAGGGACATTTTCAAAGAAAGGTATGGAGCATTTCATACAATAATATTAAAATTACACAAACATGTATAAATATATTTAAGCTTTCAAGCTACATTAGCGAACGGTTAGAGAGAACATTAAATTGTTGACACAAAACCATCACAAAACACTTTAAAATGAAACAGTCCTACAGTAAACACAAAAATATGATGATGATGATGAGGTTGTTTAATCATATTTTTTTTATTGAGTACTCAACGTTTTTTGGGTAGATTTACATCTTGGTATGTCGGTCGTCAGTATGCCATTGTTCTTGTAAAGTATCATCATAGTCAATTGGAAGTTGCTTTCTTTTCTGGAGGTATGAATTGATAAGAAGTAGTGGCACCCCTCTGATTCCCATACGATCCAGATATTGAATTATTAATTCTTACTAAGGAACTCTTATGAGAAACGTGCAATCCTAAGAAACTGTTGTATTTTCATCACTATAGATATTGAATGTGCGGGTTCTGAAATAAGTATGATCTGGGGCTATTATTCCTGACTGATAAAAACTCCTCGACTAAAGATAGTCAAAACATAAGCTGTAATAAGATCTTTAAATTTACACATTTTCAGTTATTTTATCATCAGTTTGACTAGTTTCGTATTTCAAGATACCTTTTAACTTTGATGAAAATCTGTGAGAGTAGGAACATACGTTCTAACAAGAATCCCAAACAGAGATCAAAGACATTCTCGCTTGTTGGTCGTAAAAATTTTCGCGCCTCCAAATATATATTGTCCTTCCATTTGTTGTTCATATGTCAATGATTTAAATACAGAGTGGCCCATTGAAAACGAAACAGAGGCTCTGTAGGTCGCCAGAACAGGATTATAATTATGATTCAGCGCTGCGGCGTTGCTGCCTCTAACGAGAAATCCTAATGTTGAAAAATTTTGATTTTGAACACCCTATATCTCTGTAATCATTCCCGCTTGACCGCAAGTAGGATGCATTGATGAAATCAGCTCTTCAGGGAGAATCTAAAAATGCAATGAAATACAAGGTGTTCCATTTGAAATAACAGTATTGTTTTGTTAATGAACAGTTTTTTTTTCAATTGATGCCCCAAGAGTGTCATCAGCCTTATCTCCAAAATATGTTGTAGAGGGCTGCTAGAATATCTGGTGCGTTTTATCTCCAAAGTACTTATGGACCCCAGAAAATAACAAGATGAGCATGAACACATAATCAAAATATAGAAAAAAACACGATTTTCGCAAAATACCCTTGCAGTTCCTTGGAAGCAATCAGAATTGGCACTCCGATACCAACATCATAATATGGAATAGAAGTTTTTTTTTTTAATGAAGGTTTGCCTAAAAATAATAGCAGAAGACAATTTTTGACTACCTTATATACCGAAGAGCTCGATGATCTGCATATCACTCACTTTTTTGTTCAAACATTTCTTTTTTTGATTATATAATATACTAAATTTACTGAACCTGTGTGGTTTTTCGAAGGTCTAAACAATTCAAAAAATAATTTCTAAACAACTTGTGATGGAATACCTCAAAGCAACACTTCGCCACATAAAATTGTTAACTCGCACATGGTTTATGAAAGTTAAAGTGTTGGAGGGGCGCCAAAAAATATTATGCATGAAAACGTCAGCTACCCTGTATCTTTTATACATTCAAAACATTTCAAAGTAAACAAAACGACTGGTGGTGGTGTGTTGTTAGCCCTGAATTGTTCCATAAAATCGGAAGTGGTAAATACTAATTTATTTGACTTGCAATTTCCACTGATTGATCTACTGATTGTAATGTGTCAGATAGGTTACAAAAAAATTTATGTATTAGTCGCTTACATCCCAGACAAATTAGAATCAGAACAATTTGAATATTTTTTCGAAAGCCTTGAACAACTAGATTACTTGAGCAAAGATTCTATTATTCTAGGAGACTTTAATACACCAAAACTAATCAATGAAGATATTGCTGACACTCGCACATCAGTAGTCATGAATTTTGTTAACTTGTTTGGCCTTATTCAACACAACTATGTCTTGAATCAACTAAATAGGATATTAGATTTAGTTATGTCACAACTGGAATGTGAAGTAACGCGGGATGAATCACCTCTAGTGAATGAGGATGCTCATCACCCGGCACTCACAATTAGCATATCCGATATTTTCATCAAGGAGCCCAAATTTCAGTTTGATCCTAATCGAACTAATTATAATTTTAGGAAGGCAAACTTCCCTGCTTTATATAGAGACTTATACGAAACTAATTGGGATTATATACTCAATGCTACTGATGTAGACGAGGCCTTAAAGATTTTTTATGACAAAGTGTATCAATTATTTGACAGAAACGTACCCACTTATAAAAACTATAGCCATACCTATCCTCCGTGGTTCAATGCCGATATTATCAGAAATATCAAACTGAAAGTTAAGTACAAAAATAAATTTAATCGACACAAGAGTAATTCCGATCTGATAGAATTTCAACGCCTGAGGCGTACAACTAAACAACAAATTAAAGAGGCTCATAGTGAGTATATTGAGCATATTGAAATTTCCTTAACGCAGAATCCTAAACAATTTTGGTCGTATGTTCATGCGAAAAACGATACTTCAAGGATACCAGGCAAAATGAAGTATCAAGGTAATACCTATACCGAACCACAAAATATTGTTAATGCCTTTGGGGAATTTTTTAATAGTGTTTATCAAACCTTTGACATACCACTTTCAACTAATTATGATGATACGCAGTCAGATCACATAAGATTCTATCCGATTCGTGAAGAGGAAGTGTTAAGTGCCTGTAAAAAATTGAAAGATAAAATGACAACTGGACCAGATAATATTCCCTCTTTTCTAGTAAAAGATTGCATAGGTGCACTTACCAGCCCATTACTGATAATATTCAATCTATGTCTAGAGACCAGAAAATATCCTACACTTTGGAAGGAGTCGAAGGTATGTCCTGTTTTTAAAAGTGGAGAAAAAAACAGTATAGATAATTATAGGGGCATTTCTATCATATGTAACCTGTCGAAAGTTCTCGAAGTGATACTCTATAATAGAATATACTCAACTATCAACAACCAATTGTCCCCATATCAACATGGATTTGTATCAAAGCGCTCAACTGTTACTAATCTGCTAATTATAACACAATATCTCTCAGAGGCTTTGGACAATATAGGTCAAGTAGATGTTATTTACACAGATTTTTCAAAGGCCTTCGACAGAATACATCATGGTATCTTGCTGAATAAGTTAAGAAAATTTGGATTTGCGAAGGAGGCAGTAGAATTTATGGAATCTTATTTATCAGACAGAGTACAATACGTTTCTTACAATGGATTCAAATCCGAAAAGTACTGTGCCTTGTCTGGTGTACCACAAGGCTCGAATCTTGGCCCATTACTCTTTCTGTTATTCATTAATGATCTATGTGATACAATAGATACTCACTGTTTGTGTTATGCTGATGATTTGAAATTATACTCATTGATTATTAACGAGGACGATTGTCATTACCTTCAAACTCAACTGAATGATGTGCATACGTGGTGCAACAATAATTATCTTTGTCTGAATATCAACAAGTGTAAGGTTGTAAGTTATACGAGGAAAACAAACTCTTTTGAGTATCCTTACGAAATTAATGGGTCTAGATTGGAACGGTTAAAAAAATTCAAAGACTTAGGGGTGATTTTTGATCAGAAACTCACCTTTACTGAACATATAAAATCAAAAGTGTCTGAAGCACTACGATCTTATGGATACATAGTTAGAAACAGCAGAGATTTGACCAATATAAAAGCTATTAAACTCCTGTACTTTTCATATGTACGAACAAAACTTGAATATGCAAGTATAATATGGTCTCCATTTTATGAAGTTCACATTCAGCTTGTAGAGAAAGTGCAACGTAGATTTTTAAAGTATTTGCTTTTCAAAATTGACGGTATTTATCCCCGAAGGGGTATCGATAACAACGAACTATGTGAACGACTGAATTTCATGTCTCTAGAAATGAGGAGAGATTGTGCCTCCCTTATATTTCTTTACAAGATTCTACACAATTTGATAGACTGTAGCGATATACTGGAACAGCTAAACTTTAATGTGCCATCTTATCCCACTCGCAATGCTGTTACCTTCAGAAACACACGAGCTAATACAAATATTATGCTTAACTCGCCTATTTATGTAATGTGCAATAACTATAACTGTATTGCAAACTTGTGTGACATATTCAGTTGTAGTATTAGTTGTTTGATTAAAATTGTGAATTTGCTGCCATAGGATAACCATGTGATTAGCTATAATTTCGTTATTTCTTAAATTATTTTGATCTTTATTCAGCTATGCTTCATCATATTCTGTAATATTGTCCTGTAAATGGGTAACTGTTGGACAATAAAGCTACTATTATTATTATTATTATTATTATTTCAAAAATCAATGGAAACTATGCCATATATGCAGATGACACAGTACTTTTATTTTAAAGCAAATACCCTGGAATTTTAGAAAATAACATAAATGAGGATTCAAAGAAAATGGAAGAATCTCTTTACTCCAATTTTCTTTCCCTTAATTCTAATAAGACACAATATATAACTTTCCATCAAAGAAATAAACAAAATATTGATTTGAATATTAGGATAAAAAATGAAAGATTGAAACAAACTGCTCATACCAAATACCTTGATATTTGGATTGATGAAAAGTTAACATGGGACAAGCATATTGTGTTTGTGCCCTATGAAGATGTCCAAAACTTATCCCAAATATAGCAAATACCGTTCTATACTCTCACATCCTTAGTAAAATGAACTATCTCATAAGTATTTGGGGTTCAAGAATAATTTTAACAAAATATCTACCCCATCAAATCAACTTTATGAAGAAACAAATACATTTCCTTTGGAAGAGCACTATCTGATCAATACTCTCAAAATTTCTTTTGATATTATCAACAAACACCTCGAATCTATGAACATCATACTAGACAATATGACTTGTTTCATCTTGATGCTGCTAATTCTACACTACCAAAAGAAGTTTACTCACGGATCTCAAAATTCAATAAATTACCTGATTGTATCAAAAGTTGCACAAATATCACCCAATTCAAAATAAAAGTCAAGAAACCTATCCTCTTGCAGAGAGAAAATCAAACCTGAGTGAATGATTTCTCATTCACTTATTCATTTCATCATGTCATAATGTACTTTTTATGAGATTTTTGTTTTTTATCATCATCATTTTTGCATCTGTTGTTCATTTCAATAACTTAGATTTAATAACACATGATTAATCTCATACCAGATATGTTATTTCATTGTAAATCTTCATAAAATATATTTACATGAGATGCAATGTAATGTTTATAACAAAGAATGGGAATAAGAGTATAAAAAAAGGATCATTCAAATGTTCTCCACTGAATCAACTGAATTCACCATCCTGTCTGTGATGTTAGCAAGTGATCTCAAAAATATATTAAGTTCGCAGGCAATTTGATATAAGATAACGTCACCGTATGGCTCCTGAATGATTATAATGTAGTACGGGGATTGAATCATCCTATACAGATATTTAGGTAAACATCCGTATCTCGAATAGCCTCATTAGTCAGATATTACCTTGGCGTCGGTATTTTGAAGTTCCATTGGGGGCTCCCGATGACTGAAAAGAACAGGAGGTGCAGTGTGCGAAGCTCGAAGGCCCTCTTTGAGCTCTTGCATGAAGACTTTGCCGAGAATGACGTCATCTTCGTTTCTGAACCGAGTTGAAAAAACTACTGTTACCCGGTCGGCTTTCGCCTCTACATAACTGGAAAACAGATAAATGATATAAGCATATAACATAATTACTAAATAGGTTTGTTTCTAAGCGTGGATATTTCAATTTCAGCTGAAAGCGTTATATTCCGGGCTTATGAACATACTCCAATGGATAAAATATTCTAAATATTCCGTATTCTATTATTTAATGGAACTGAAAGTTTCCTTTTAAAGAGCGAGCATAGAAAAATGTAACCTGCCGAGTAAACTAGTAGCGTGACGTAAAAGACCAGTACATTTTCTTGTTCTTTACAATCACTAGAATAAAATGACGTGGTATTTTGTGCCAGGCTGCACCAATACAGACTTAGGAACACCAACAAGAATATGCATTACGGTTCCGAAGGAAGAAGAGAAGGAATGAAGATGGTTGTCAACTCCGAAAGGCGAAATATCCCAGAGGTGTCGTTAAAATCAACGCACTGTTAAATGTTGCTACAAATTCTTCTTTCCACATTTTGGTTTATAACTGAATACGGATAGTTCTGACTTTGGACGATTCAACATATAACCACTCCTCTCAACCATATACATAGGTAGCTACATACTGTACATGATTGACTATGGATTTCACGACTTCAACAGCTGATATCTCGAAAACGAAAAAAGATATTTGAAATTTGGAAAAAAGTACTTGAATGAGATGTCATTTCCTTTTAGAAAATGTGTTCTCTGCTTGATTTTATCATTTTATATACAGGGTTTGTGAAAATTTTTTTTTTCCAAATGGAAATGGTATATTATCGCATATTTGGAAAGAGCTCTCGTTCCTGATTTCGAAAATATATACTTTCCATATATTCTATCGAGGGGTTGACGAAACGGCATACCAACGTGAATAGAATACTAACGCTTCTACCACGCGGCACGCGGCTACCTGGCCTCCTGATATACCTCAATATTTGAATCCCACTTTCCTGTAATATTCCATCTCTCGAGAGCAAATAGGATAAATACGCATCCAACATTTTATTTATTAACAATCATACTATAACAAGAACAAAAATAATTCTGGAATTCGATCAAATAAAATGTTCAAAAACACTTCCATTATTTTCACGACAACAATTCAGGCGTTTGATGAATGATGTCTTCAATTTATCAAAAAACTCCGGGTTTGCATTTAGATCCGCAATCTCTACTATTATTTTATCGCGTATTTCATCTAAATTATTGGCTCTTTGCCTATAAACTATGTCTTTGAATGTTCACCACAGAAAGAAGTCGAGTGGTGTAAGATCTGGGCTTCTTGGTGGCCAGGAAATCGTGCCGCGCCTTCCTATCCACTCATTATAATTTGAATTCAAATATTGAATAATGAGGTTTGTGGAATGGCAAGGTGCACCGTCTTGTTGCCAGATTATCCTTCTAGATATTTCTAGTGGCATTCCGTCTATGAAATCTTGAATTTCATTTTGAAGTAGGCTCAGGTATCTTCTCTGATCCAAATTCCCATCTATGAAGATTGGTCCCAATATTTTTCCATTATGAATGCCACACCAAACAAGAATAGACGACCGACCTTGTTTCTGTATTGCTTGAAAAGCATGCGGGTTTTCGGATGCCCAATGATGCGAGTTCCGTCTATTGAACATACCACTGGTCGTGAAACAAGCCTCGTCTGTCCAAATGATATCGTCAAAATAGCTTTGTCTCATATTTAATCTTTCAGATATGACAAGACAAAATTCAATCCGCTTCTCTCAAACCAACCTCTCTCACTGCATTTCTTCTTCTTATTGACCGTGAGGGATCCTCAACAAAATACTGGATTACAAGAAGTTCCTCGTCTTCGTTGTCTTGCCTTGTCACTATTCTCTTGATATTCGACAAACTGGAAGTTCTGTCAAATTTAGCAGCCAAATACTTTACATAATTCTTAATTGGTAATCTCCTGCCTGGATAACTCCTCATATACTTACGAAGTGTTTCAGCAAGATTTTTATTAACTGAAAAATAACACTCCAAAATATCTCTTCTTTGTTCCAGTGGATATGGCATCGTGAAAAAATTGTCGAAATTTTGCGCACTTATGTCACTGGTATGTTGACCAAATGTCAATTCACTTATTCATCATCTCATTCTATTTCAACCATAGCTAACTTGGACCAAATATTAATATTTAATTTTGCTGATATTTCGTCAAGCCCTCGATAGAATATATGAAAAGTATATATTTTCAAAATCAGGAAAGATAGCTCTTTCGAAATATGCGATAATATACAGGGGGTTCCATTTGAAAAAAAAAATTTCACAAACCCTGTATATCAAATGATAAAATCAAGCGGTAAACACATTTTCTAACAGGAAACGACATCTCATTCAAGTACCTTTTTCCAAATTTCGAATATCTTTTTTCGTTTTCGAGATATCAGCTGTTGAAGTCCTGATATCCATAGTCAATCACCCTGTACAAAGGAATCCCTATTGTCTCTCAGACTGAAATGATAAGATGGGGCGTCGCCCTAGTTTCTCAGGTAAAGCTCTGGCCGTTCGATATCAGATGTGGTAATTTGCTAAGAATCAACGAATTCATTCTAAAAATATCAAACAAATTCTACAAATACCACATCGCTGGAAGTGACCTTACCCGGAACATCACCACTCTACGCCAACACCATAACATACGCAAGAAACACGGGCTGATATATGCATCAACCGATGTGTTTAGAGAACTTGGTGATCTCTATAGTTGGGAACCCCCCCCCCCCCGGATTCTCGGGAATACCCAAGACATCGGGGGGAGGCTAGACAGGACTATCTCTCGAGCAGGAAAATAAAAAAGTGACATGGACGTGAGAAATACCAGTCACTGAACTCGGGCAAATGTGCCGCACAGAAAGTGCGGTAAAACTGCCCGAGCACAACAAGAAGGAGGTTCTTTATGGTTTTGCCAATTTTTTTACTTTTCCTCCATAATCAAGAAAAAACCACCCACATTGATCGCGACTGAACAGCTCCCCCACCCTCTTGGGTACCCTCAGCGAGATTACCTATATAAAGGGCCTAGCCCTAGGAGATAGGTACTTGTGACGAACACCTCGCATATACACTCACATTCCCTGGCCAACACCAGCCACCTCTGCGCCAAGCGGAGGGATACCCAGGCACACCACAGATGTGCCAACATTGATAGAAATGTGTTTGACAATATGTGATCTAACTAATTGAAGAAGTAATAAATTACTTTTATTTCTGACTGGTATATTATAAGCCTATATCATCTTAGTTACACTATCAATTAGGAGGGTCATAACTCCCTTGGGATGTTATAGATGCTATAATTCCCTCTAGCTAAAATTAAATGAGAAATGCATAGCAACAACCACGCAATAACGTAGCAATAAGGAATCTCCTATTCGCGGTAGTCAAGATCATCATCTGACGTTCTGATGACATTGAAACTATACGGAAAAACATGTCTAACTTCCAATCGGGAAGGTATCTAATGAATGAAATCAGTCAGAAATAAAATTATCTATGTATCACGGGAATTACTGAGCCTCAATAACCTCAGGCAATTGCTGTCCCTCGGGCCAGAGGCCCTCGGGACGCAAACTTTGCCATCGGTAATTAAGGCCCTCATAATTCCCTTGATACATAAATAACTATAATACGTTCGATATCTGAAGTTAAGCAGTATCGAGCGCGGTTAGTAATTGGGTGACCATTCGAGGAAACGCCGCGTAAGCCCGTACATCTATATCAGAATAGCATATCATAGCTACAGCTACCATATCAATGAGCACAAGATATGGTACGGATATGCCGTCCTTCGGAGGGGACGTTAAGCCGGCGGTCCCGAGGCCATGGATGTTGGACTCGTTAAAGATCCCTATCTCTGGTTGGAACACCAGAGGATTCGGCAAAATTTCCGGTTGGGGGTATAGTGTGCTCACCGGCGTCGGTGATTAGCCTCAGTAGCAGAAAGAGGCCGACGTTAAAGAAACAAGTAAAAAAAAATGATAAGATAATAGTGGATTATGCGAAGAGGATAAATCAGAGGTTCGCCCGACCGAACTCTATTCACATTTTATATAAAGAGGACCTTAACAGGTGAGAGAAGACATTTTTTCAAGATGAAAATTCTATGTAAACATATTATATGCGTGGGAGCTTTGTTTCCGATATACAGGGTTGCAAAGTTTAAGATTTTTTTTGTGTTTTTTCCAATTTTCTCCCACAATTTCCAAAACAATGAATTGAAATTTGGTACACCTATCACACTTTGGGAATGCAATATTTGTTGTCATCGAGCGTTCTCGAATACCAACATGATGGTACACTTTTGAGGGTCGTACCCGAGTTAACCCTCTCGAACTTTTTTGCGTACTGCCTCTGATTTATATGAATCATCAATTTAGATACTCCCTTCAATTTGGATACGTTTTGCTCTTTTGTTTTCTCGAAAACTGTATGGGTTTCAAGATAAATGCCAAAAATAATTTACTTGTAACTATACTTCATTTTTCAAGTCCGTATTTTGTAGCAGGATTGTAACAGCTTGAAAAACACATATTTTTAAGATGATAACCTTATGTAAACAGATATGCGTGGGATCTTCGTTTCCTATATACAGGGTTTCAAAGTTCAAGATTTTTTTGTGTTTTTCAATTTCCTCCTACAATTTTCAAAATAATGAATAGAAATTCGGTACTATCGGTACCAAAATTATCAGATGCAGCACCCAACACCAGTGACTATCCAGATCCAGAACAACCACATGAACAATATTGTATCTTCGCCATATTTTACTGAAGGTTAATTTCAAACAGCTAAATGATCAAGTGAAAAGGTTCGTGATACTGAGTACAACGTGACGATTTTTATGCCCCATCAAAAGAATTTGCTACGGGCCCCAGATGGCAGAATAGTCATTTTTAATGCACTTCCACAATATGGGTATCAAATGAAACGACTTGTTGATAGTAACTCGAAAAATAATGTGACGTCATTCTAAATCCAATATGGCGGACCATCCAAGATGGC